ATTTGTGCCATCATCAGCACAACAGGATTGCTGGGATAGGATACAAACATGCATCGCCGGCGCTGATTCAGCGGCTAAGTTCCAAGAGGAGTGCTGCACCATCATTTCGGAGGAAATAAGCACCGAGAGAGAGTGTTTCTGCAGCGTCAAGCCTATTCTTGATCAAAATGCCACCCTTGCCGACTCCCTATCTAATGTTCTCTCTCTTTGTGACGGCATTGCTTCTTTCAACACAATTTGCTCTGGTATATATGCATATATCCTACACATTACGTGTTACACTTTACACTTATTATGATTTATCTTTTATTCCCCCCACCCCCAATAGTATTTTCTCATATGAATGCTTAACGTTAAAAAGACATGGCAAAGGAGTTAGTCGTTCAAATTTGGCATAATTAAACTTCAGTAGTTATTGTTCTCTTCACCTTATTTATGTTAAAATTATATCAAAAAGCTAGATTATTCAAACTTGACTAGATAATACCAAAAAAATTTAATTTTATTTTGTTATGTCCTTTTGTTATTCTGTGTTTATATTTTATGTTTCATGTTAGTTGATCCTAAATCATTTTGGAACTAAACCTTTGTTGCTGTAGTTGTTTTTATACTAATAAAATTAGATAATGGGAAGACACATACCCACACCCACAAGCGGAATCTATGAAGTCTTACTACACTAGAATAAACTATGATCAAGGTTTAATTTGATTAGGACATCCGATCAAACTAGATTACACCAAGAAGATTTAGACTAGAAACACATTATTTTTTTATAAGTGATGAGAACAACTTGTGTCATGAATTTTTTTCAACTTGATGCGCATTTGATTTATTTGGAAATTAGCTAATTAAGATCATTCAATCAACACTAGTCAATTTGAAATAAGGTTGATTATGGTTTAGATTTGGTTCACTTTCATCAATTGGACTTTTCGTCCACTTTGTTTATAATCGGGCACTTTTAATTTACTCACCGTGTACAATACATGTTGGATTAACTAATTTTGCAATGTCTGCTTTGAAGGTTCTGCTCCAAGCCCCATTGCAACTCCACCCTCATCAACACCGGGTAATTTCTTTTATTTAATTAAAACAGTGGCGAATTTGATCCGCAAATTTATCAATTTAAATTGCATACATGGAGGGCGAGTTATGTAATAGTATATACTTCATAGTATCGGAATATATTACTTCCTTCGTTTCAAAAAAAAAAAAATATTCTCACTTGAAATCATAACACTATTTATAAGATGGAAAAAAATAATAATTTAAATGACTCTTAATACTACCTTCTTTCTTAGGAATAATGCTCGTTTGTTGCAAATAATAGAAAACAAATGTAGTATACTCGTAACATAATCATATTGGGTCTTGTTACTGAATTGTTTATTAAAATCAATTGTTATATATTTAATTAACAAATATAGCTAGGAATTTAATTAATCATCCTTTAATTTGCGCATATGCCTTTTCATTTGGGCCATTATACTCACCAATTTAATTCTTCCAGCCACCTTAGAGCCATCAGAAGATGCAAGTTGCTGGGAAGAAATCGGAACTTGTATTCAAAAGAATTTAAATCGAAGTGAATTGGAGCCAACTTTGAATCCAGATAGCCCGGCGTTTAATGTGACTGAATTTTTCTGCTGTCCTCTGATGCAACAAGCAGCAAGAACTGAAAAACAATGTTTTTGTGCCATCAACACTGTTATTCAGGATAATCCAGATTCGGCAACCAATATTACACTCGTCTTGTCCGCTTGCAACATTGCAAGTTCTACTGCTTCTCTTAACAATTTCTGCCAAGGTATATTATATTTACAAACATGTGTTTATTCACCGTAGTACCCCTTGTAAACGTACACCTAATGTAATTTTTCCTTACATTTATAATTTTTTCCAAACGAATTTCATATATAGTCGATCATATCAAGTAGTAATATGGTTTGTTATTGTTTGTTTTTGTGGTTGAAGCTCCAAGTGACTCCCCAACTCAATCTTTGGCAATTTCGGCTGGTATGTATTATAATTTATCTTGTTTACCATTATATAATTTCAAGGCGTTGTGATTGTTCATACCTATTAATCTATTATTATTTTACCTCTTCACTTAGCTATAGAGTTTATATTTTGAAACGTGTCGGATGAATAAATTATTATCCTATTTCATGTTACAGATTAAAGTTGATTTAATTTTTTTTTTTTTTTTTTTTTTTTTTTTTTTTTGAGGAAAGATTAAAGTTGAATTTAATTTATCCCGTTATTAATTGTTTGATGGGTTTTTCTATAAAAATAATTATTGAAGGTGAAGCTTCAAGCCCTAATCCCGCTCCTACAATCCGGCCATCTCAAGGTAAATTTCTTACTTGAAATATTGTACGTAGTAGCATCACAACTTTAAGTAACAAAAATCATGTATTAGAAATTAAGAAACAAATACATTAAGGAATTTACATTGATTGTGCAAATCATATTTGATTCTCACATCCACACAATCATGCAAATATAACATTACATTGATACATATTAAAAAGTGTTGCACATAATAGTGTTTTTTTTTTTTTAGCCTAATTATGTAAATCTTATCTACAAGTGTTACATATTAACATTGAGGTTTCAAATTAATAAAGGTTCCATGGAGAGCCTCAACGATGCAAGTTTAATGACCACAAAAAAGACTTCAGGTAATTACTCTGCTCATCATTTTACATTAAATAAAGGAATTAAAATTTTCTCTTTCACCCCGCTACATGTTTACAACTTTACATGCTCGGATATACATATTTATGTTTGTGAACAACTTTCTCATTTCACCCTAAAAGTCCATACTTAACTCGAGCAATTTCTACTAATATATTGAACTAATTATCTAGTCCGTGTAGCTCAAGAGGGAGATATAAAAATGGAGTGATGTTAACTTATCATTTTATCGTCAAAATTTAATTAAGTTTTGTGTATATAACTAACATTTTATCTTCTCTTTTGAATATAAAATTGATGGTATAGCTTCAAGCCCTACCTCAACTCCAACGAAGACACCACAAATAGGTAATTACTTTTCCAATTTACTGAAGGTAGATTTAATTTAAATTGATGGTATTATACATTTATACATTAATTAGTACATATATAGACAGCTAGCATAATGAAAATAAATAAATTGTATGACCATAAACTTACAATAAACAAGAATATAATTCCACGACTAGCCCAAGCCTGGCGTCTGAAAATTTAGTTGTCACCGTATTAGTTTAACTTTAGATTTTCAAACATGACTCGTAATGTATATTTAATAGATTTTGTAAAGTATTTACCTAGAGTACGTACATTGAATTTCCACGTGAATGTAACATTGCAGGTAAATCTGAAGTTGATAAAGGTGCTGCAAATAAGATTACGATGATTGGGTCACTTTCTGGCTTGTTCATTATCTTCACATATGTCCTTCTTCATTAGATATTTGGAGTTTCCATGTTTTAACGATTTTCTCGAGTATAAACAACGCTGATCTAAGAGATGCTCAATTCCTGATTATACGTAAAATTGTGCTTGTATTGCTGGTTGTTTTCATTGTAAATTATATTGCTATGTAACATTATCTGTATGTGAGTGCGTGTTTTCAAAGCACATATATACTTCATATATATAATTAATATTACAAGTGTTGTTCCTGCTGGATTCTGCTTTCGTTAACGTCTGAGGGCTGGTAATGGTTTACCGTCCAATTGCTCACCTGCACAGCCAATACAGATTAGCTAGCCCGGGGGTTATCCGGGAATAACCACTTCGATGCTAAATTCAGTACCTTTGTGAGAAGAAAGTGAAGAAAGTGAAAGAAGAGAGAGAAAGTGTTTTAGAGAGAGAAAAAATCGTCCTTGAAATGAGGATTTGCTTGGGTATTTATAGGAACACAACCAAGCAGGTGCCACCTATACAGATAGGTGGCACACCGACCTTGTAAGTAGTAGGTGCCTACGCGGCACCAAGCAACTCTCCACGTGTTGGAGGGACATGCCACGTTCCGAGAAGCAGCTCTCCACGTGGTAGAGACTAATGCCGGTAAGGACATGAATTATTCAATGATTAACGAGGGCTTTAAACTGCACGACACTCTTTTACCGGCATATTATGATTCTACCGGTATATCCCGTACAACTAGCCCCCCAAGTGAGGGCGTTAGTAAAACTGACGTGCTCACTTGCGTTGGAACACGGTGGTGGTATGTACGATATGTCATAAAAGAATGTTTTAAAAAACGAAAACAAAATCTACGATTTGCCCCCCGAGTGAGCAAATTGACGATAGTAATTTGCTCAATAAAAACATGAAAAAATCTACAATTTTCCCCCCAAGTGAGCAAATTGACGATAGGACCTTGCTCAATACATGAAAAAATCTACAATTTGCCCCCCAAGTGAGCAAATTGACGATAGGACTTTACTCAATTACCGAGTAAAATGCCGACATGTTTTGGCTCAATAAAATACTGAAACCGAAAATAGGAGTTAAAACGATTTCACACATTTGAAAATTTATCCCCCAGGATTTGGCGGGAAAATGTAGTAAAATAATGGGGCACGTGTCAGTCATCGAAGTAGGTTACTTTCGAAAAGGCGTTTTATTACAGCCGTTGGATTGCATGCAGTAAATGTCACATCAACCGCTTCATTTGTACAGTATAAATAGCAAATTTCGTACTTTTGACCCTTCATGTCTGTTGCGAAAAAATTTCGAAAAATTTCTACTTCACTTCGCTCGTAGCGCGCTTGTATTTCTGCGATTCAAGGCTCAATTTGTTAAGGGTTTGTTCAGTTGTGTTGTGACCGGTGTTTGTAAACGGAGGACACTTAATTCCCGAGTTACGCTTTCAAGAGTTGAGTTGAAAAAGAGATAAAAAAACCCTAACTTTCTTTTCGATTTCTCACTGGTTTGTGGTTTAGTAGATTTTGCGTTTATTTCATTATTTGTGAATGTCTGGTTCTGGAATGCATGCAAACATGGGTAAAGCCAATGAGGCTGAACTCTGTACACCCTTAACTTCTGTGGAAGAAAGAGAAGCTTATTACCGTCATAAGTTTCTAGCTGACGCCGAGAAGGCTTTGCGTCCTACCAACCCTGATATTCCAGAGGACATAGAGATTGCCGATGTTGAGCCTATTAGCGTTCAATATCATTTGAGGTCAAATTTGGATTTATTTAATCAATACGGCACTAATATTAACAGGATGCCGAGAACGAAACACACCAGTTACCAACGTGAGGTTGGTGAAAGCAGTAAACCTTCCGTTGATGAAGAAATGGTTGACCTTGGGCCTGAAGCTTCGGATATCCGAGAAGAAGATATCCGGTCAGTCGAAGATAGCCTAGAACGGCAAGAAAGCGGGGGTGAAAGCATCGGTAACGAAGACGATGCAGATGGGTCTGAAGAGGTTGGGGAAGGAGAAGATGATGAGGGTGAAAACAGCGAGACCGACGAGGAAATTGCTGCAGATTTCAACCTTGCTGCTCAGATTGCAGAAGAGGAACGTCTCGACGAGGAATACGACTCAGATCAAGATGATCCAAAGTATCTAGAACCTTAAGAAATTCCCCGCAGCTATGAAATAACTGAGTCAACTGTGGATCCGGTGTGGTTGCAGACAGCCACCGAAAAAGATTATTGCCAACATGGCAAACGCTTCTACTATCTCCCTGACGGTTACGAACTGAGACTACCAAGTAATGGTCAGACGGCTTTGGACTGTCCTGCCGGTCACATTGTTGTGTATGCAAAACATTTAGAGTTTGGTTTACGGTTTCCACTCCATCATTACATCGAAAAAATATTCAGGGCTTGGAATGTTTCAATTGCACAGTTAACGCCTCCGACTATCCGAAATATTGTGTCTCTTGTCTGGGTTATGATATTTATGGACTTTCGCCTTACCCTGAACTTATTTCGGAGATTACATTGGATAAAAAGAGATAGTCAGTCACCCGGATGGTGGTCCCTTTTTACCACTCCCGGTAAATGTACAGTGTGGCCAAAATTGACCAGTTGCAAGAACTGGAAGAATGAATTTTATTTTATGAGTGTGCCTGACGATTTTACCATCCGTAGGACATTTCATCATCCACACAGCATGTTCGAGACCATACGGTCAAGAGCGTTAGGACCGATGGAGAAAAAAGCTTTTAAATGGTTTAATTGTACATATGTTAGAGCCGGTAAGAAGAATAAAGTCGTTCCGGGGGTGTGGTTGCTCCACTGTAATTATATACTAGGCAACGCCCCTCTATCTCATGTCGGTCTCTGCCATACCGATGTTTTTGGTATGGATGCATTTATAAATTATATACATTTGCTTATACTCGTGATTTGGAATTAATTTATGTGTTTTGCTTGCTTATTTTCGTACTTGCCTGTGTGTATTTACTTACACTTGTTGTTACGCCTAAGCTTACCTTTATCATATCGGTTTATTGACGTTTATTATCAGCTTGTCCTCCGCCAGGTATCGACAAGCTTGACTTTAGCCGACTAGGGTTGCATTCTGACGGATCGGCCAAAGAAGTCATACGACACCCTGCCCTCTTTTGCTACCAGAGCGTCGAAAAGAAAAAGAACCAAACAACAAGATATGGCTCCTACCGAACGCACTACCAAGCCCCGCACCCTTGCTGTGAAAAGGGGTGGTGGGAATGCGTCTAAAAGGACTTCCGAGTCCTCCGACCGAGAGCCACAGAAAAAGCAGAAAAAACATGACGGCGATACAGTCCCTCTTCGTCCGGAGGCACAGGAGTCTTGGCCGGAAGGAGTTGTCAACCTGGAGGACGAGACCGAATCCCATCCTGCAAAGAAGCTGACGGTCACCTTGAGAGATCCAAAAGGTCTCGGGGTCAGCAGCGAGGTCAGAACCGGCCAGATGGCCAGCATTGAAAAGCCTCCAAGCAAGGAGACAACAATCATGTCGGGGCACACTGGCGGTCTGGGCCAGAATGCTTTCGTCCCGGCCGGCGTCAGTGACTTTATCGAGATTCCTCATGTCAAAATCCCGGTAGACGTCGTTGACGAGTAGTCTGTGCCCTCTGGTGTTGCCGGCGACCCATGGAACCCCCGGATCAACGTCAACCGCGGAGAGTTTGTTCTCTGTGACGACCCTGCGATTGGCGGAAGCATGGGGTGGAGGGTACTCAAGGATTTGGCAACGCCAACCGACAGGCCTGTCAATCGCGTTGCCGCTCCCTGCGGTCAGCTGATGAACAACATGCTCCGGGTAAGATAGCATTTATATATATATATATATATTTAACGGAAATTTCTGTTATCGTTAACTAGACCGTCAACTCCGCTATCGAAGTGGTACACATGTACCAACATTATCAGCGCGCCGCCGATAACGCTGAGACCAAGCTGAAAAAGGCTGACGACGCTTGTAAGGTCGTCATCAAAGAGCACGATAAAGTTAAATCTGATATGATGACCTTGCAAAAGCAAGTGTCGGAGCTAAACAAGAAGCTGACGGATCAGGAGCTGTTAAAAAAGAAGGTAGCCAGCCTTGAGCAGAGTCTGAAGGACGAGAGGGAGGCTAAGGCAAAGCTGGCCATCCAGGTTGAGGAAATGGAGCGTGACAAACCGGGAATCAGGCGCCGAGCCGTTAATCGGTTCCTGCAGACCGACCTTTACGCCAATTTGATGGTTGACCGGTACACTGCCGGCTGGGTCTCTGCGCATCGTTGTGTGTGAAAAGCGGAGGGGTGGGATTCGACGAAATGGCAGGCCGTCGAGAGGGCTTTTAACAAAGAAATGAACCACTCTCCTACCAGCTATGAGAGTGAGTACTTTGACGAGCTCCCCCCACATGCTGTGATAACCAATTTAGACCCGCGCGAATTGCCGGAAGTGGAGTTTGATGACGCCCTTATCCGTAGCCCTATTGCCACTCATGCTGGTAAAGATGGGTCTGCCGGTTCCTCCAACAAAGAAGCTGAGAAAGAGCCTGTTAAAGTGGCTGAATCAACAAAGGAGGCCGGCAAAAATTAATCAGGAGGGCAGTCATCTCTGGGCTATAATGTTTATGTTTATCTGTACCCGTTTCTATGTATCACACAATTACTTCCGTCTGTATTATGCAACCTTTTTTCTTTTAACGTTTAAATACTCTATTTGCGTATGTCTGTACTTAACACAATTATTCTTAATCAGTTAGTTTATTTACTTCCTTACCATTATCCTTACTGTCATGCGAATTTTGTTTATGCTATGGCCGTTACTTACCTTTTAATTAATATTTAATGATTGCCTTCCTTGAATCGTGTTTTAGTTATTCCTTGATTTTTAACACAAATGTACGTTTTTCGGCATTTCAAAACTATACTTCTCGGTATTTTATTTGCGAATAAAATCTTGGAAGACCAAAGAATGCATTCAACTTTGTTATCGGTGTTTTCAAGATACACCTTACCGGTGTTTTGGAAAACCAAATAATGCATTCAACTTTGTTATCGGTGTTTTCAAGATACACCTTACCAATAATACTCCCCGAGTTTTTCGGCAGAATTTATTCGTAAACCAATTCTAGGAAAACTCTGTAATGCTTGTGCTGAACATCGGATATGAAACATACCGAGATAAAGTATCCAACTTTTGTCAGGCTGAGCAAAGGCAGTGGATCAGACCGCACTTTCAACTCCCCTTGAGGTCCATTATTATCTTATTTTATTATTCTTCCCTCACTTGAACGACCGAGTCAGCTAGCTAGGCTGTGATCAGATCGTATCGAAAGTAGGTAATGCGATTGTATTTTATAAGTGTTGAAATAGGTTACAATACTAATAAATGCCGAAAACATACATACGTATGACAACATGTCATCAAAATTTATACTACGTAAAATAGGTCACATTTAAATTTCACATGAAATATTTCTTTAATACACTAGCGTTCCAAACATTCTTCAGGGGTACACCTTCAAGGGTCATTAACCGATAAGACCCTTGCCAAAGTGTTTCATATATTTGGTAAGGCTCCTCCCAGGTTGCAGTAAATTTACCTTCTGCGTTCCTTTTGCCGGTTGCCGCCGTTCTACGTAGAACTAGATCACCATCTTCCATGGGCCGATAGTTGACACGTCGGTTATAAGCGTGGCTCATTCGGTTTTTGTATGCCACAGATTTTATGGCAGCCGTCAACCTTGCTTCCGGTAGAAAATCCAATTGTCGTCGGAGCAACAAATCATTTTGACTTTCGCAGAAGTGTTGTACCCGAAAAGAAGGTAATCCCACTTCCGCCGGAACCACTGCCTCTGAGCCGAAAGCGAGGTTAAAAGGAGATTCCCCCGTAGTTTCTCTTGTTGTCGTACGATTCGCCCACAAAATCTCGGGTATCAGATCAGCTCACAAGCCTTTAGTGTCTTCTACTTTTTTCTTAACTACCCCTAGTATCTGCTTGTTAGCGGCCTCAGCTTGGCCATTTGACTGCGGGTGACATACTGTCGCATACGCAAACTTTACTTTGTATATGCTTAGAAATTTCTTTACCGGGCTACAGTCAAATTGTGATCCGTGATCAAACACCATTGCTGTCGGCAACCCGAACCGCGTAAAAATGCTTTTCCAGATAAAATTTTTTACCTCATTCGCTGTAATCTTTGCTACCGGTTCTGCTTCTATCCATTTTGTGAAGTAGTCTATCCCTACAATCAAAAACTTACGGCCACCTGTTGCCGATGTAAACGGCCCTATAATGTCCATTCCCCACTGAGAAAACGGGATTGGGTTAAGAATAGGTGACAAATCATTGGGAGGTTGATTAATTACCGGCCCGTACTTCTGGAATTTATCACATTTTTTAGCGTATTCCATGGTATCTGCATTCATTGTTGGCCAATAGTAGCCTCGTTTCATTGCTTCCAAGGACATTGACCGACCCCCCGCATGATTACCACAATCACCCTCGTGTATTTCTTCTATCAGTCTTGCCGACTCATAAGCCGTTATACACCTTCGCAGCGGTAACGAAAACCCCCGCTTATACAACAAACCTCGGAACATGATAAACCAAACACTGTCTTTCTGGACCTTTCTTGCCTCCGTCTTGCCGGCAGGAAGGGCATTATGTATTTTGTAAGCCAAGATATCATCATACCATTCTTGTCCCGCAGTTGTACAATATACGTCCTTAGGAGGTTGTTCATCAATACTTCTTTCTTTCATAACCTCTACCATAACCGTCCTCTCTAAGTCATTGAAGCTTGAACTTGCGAGTTTAGCCAAGGCGTCTGCCTGTGTGTTCATTGCTCGAGGGACCAACTTGATTTCGAAATACTCCAGACCAGATGTAACACTCTTGAGTTTTGCCAAATATGTCGTCATGCTCGACTCTCGAGTCTCGTAAGTGCCATTAAACTGATTTGCTACTAACTGCGAGTCAGTTGTCATCTCAATACGCCTTGCTTCCGCAGATATGCATAACTGTATTCCTGCCAACGCTGCTTCATATTCTGCCTCATTATTCGAGGCTTTGAACTTGAACTTAACGGCATACTCGAACACATCTCCCTGGGGAGAGATAATAATTACTCCAGCTCCTGAGCCGGTTGAAGCAGAAGAGCCGTCAACTGATACCTTCCATGTGCCGATAGCATCCTCTTCTTCATAATAGGACGTTTCCACAATGAAGTCAGACAAAGCCTGGGCTTTAATTGATACTCTTGGTTTATACGCAATAACATACTCAGACAATTCAATAGCCCATTTAAGCAGTCGGCCAGACGTTTCCATCTTCTACAAAGATTTCTCTAACGGCTGATTCGTTAAGATATCAATTGCATGTGCATCAAAATAAGGGCGTAACTTTCGTGCGGCCACAACTACCGCGTACGCGACCTTTTCTACTAACGGGTACCTTTTCTCGGCAGCATTTAAGACGTGGCTCACGAAGTAAATTGGCAGTTGTGTTTTTTGCCGCTCTACCAGGAGCACCGCCGCTACCGTATTTTCCGACGCGGAGATATAAAGCTGTAATATTTCTCCTTGTTCTGGCCTTGCAACGGTGGGTAAGGACCTCAAGTGATTTTTAACAGCCTGAAACGCCTTGGACTGGTCCTTCCCCCATTCAAACAGCTTGTTCTGACGCAAGATCACAAAGAACGGTAAGGCCTTATCAGCTGACTTGCTGATGAATCTCGTTAACGCGGCCATTCGACCAGTGAGCCTCTGTATGTCTTTTATACACTTTGGTTCTGGTAAACTCAGAATCGCCTCAATCTTATCGGGGTTGGCGTCTATCCCCCTTTCGCTCACCATGAAACCGAGAAACTTTCCTGACCGCACGCCGAACACGCACTTCTCTGGGTTTAACTTCATCCGGTAACGCAAGTGTCTCAAAAGTTTCTCTCAAATCGACGACGTGGTCTGTAGCCAAACGGCTTTTCACAATTGAATCATCCACATACACCTCTACATTTCTTCCTTTCTGGTTCGCAAATACCTTGTCGACCAGCTTCTGGTACGTAGCCCCTGCATTTCTCAATCCAAATGGCATAGCCCTGTAGCAGAAAACTCGGGAGTCGGTAATGAATGCCGCCTTGGTTCGATCCGACTCATATAAGCTGACCTGATGATATCCGGAGAAAGCGTCCATGAAGCTCAATAGCGCGTGACCGGAGGTTGAATCTACCAATCTATCTATCCTCGGCAAGGGATAGCAATCTTTCGGGCAGGCTCTGTTCAAGTCTGTAAAATCCACGCACATTCTCCATTTCCCTGACGGCTTCCTCACCATAACCACATTTGCTAACCATTCGGGGTATGTGCAAGGTTCGATAAACCCTGCCGCTAGCAACTTATTCACCTCTGACCGAATAGCCTCCATTTTCTCTGTTGAGAAGTTCCTCTTCTTCTGCCGAACAGGTCTTGCCCTCCTGTCGACATTTAGCTTATGTACTATGACGTCGGGATGTATCCCTGGCATGTCGTCTGCCGAGAAAGCGAACACGTCAGCACTTTCTCGCAACAATTCTACCAAATGGTAGCGTGTGTTGACATCCATATCGGATCCGACACGCACTACCCTACCGGGAACTCCAGGCTGCAATTCGATCTTTACAGTTTCGCCTCCTGGGGAAGGACGTGGCGCAGTTACCGGCCGGGTATCAAAATTTTCCATAGCCAAGTCATGTGTAGAGGGAATTCGTTCTCGCTTGGCTGGTGTCTGTTCACAAGTTGGTTGTCATCTAGCCCATTCATCAATGCCATCACGGCAATTTCTTGCTGCAATTTTGGTATAGTGTTAGCCTCGTTGTTGAAGCGTCTAATGAAATCCCTGAGCGACTCATCCTTTCGTTGCCGTATAGCCATGAGCTCGCCAGATGTCCTTTGTCTCGCACTATTACTTATGTACTGACCTGTGAGCAACTCCACCAGGGTCTCAAAGTAGTCAATTGATCCCGGCTCAAAATTGGAGAACCAATCCGAAGCTGAGCCGATAAGAGTCGTGGGGAAAACTTTACACCACACAGCATCGGTGTCGGTATATAGCAACATGTGACTCTCAAACGCAGCCACATACCGCTTTGGTCCCCCTTACCATCATACGTACAGGACGACATCTTTATTTTCTCCATTTGCTGGTAAAGTACCTCTTGTGTGAATGGAGATATTCTGGGCCTGATGATCACCCTGACTGCCCGCCTTTCCAAGCCACTAGAGACCTCGTGCCGGTAAGAACCTGAATCCCCCACCTGGGCGCCTTGTGTGAGTTGGCGCTCGACCAGTGTGGTCTCTCGGCCCCGGTTTCTTGACGGTTGTTGCTGTCCCGCCTGATTGAACTGACTCTCCAAGTTCACTATCAGCGGCTTTGTCGGTACCTCATCCCGCATTCCCCCTGCCGCTAACTCGGCTTCTTTTCTTTTCTTAGACATAGCCCGCATGACCTTGGTCGTTATCTCTAGCTCCTCCGGGGTAAACCCTTCCAAGGGATCTGGGGTTAATGCTCTACTACGGTCAGGTGTTACGGGCCTGTTCATTGTGTTACCATGAAGGAGATGAGTTTCATCTTCGACCATGATTTCTGGTAGTACGGTTTTATTCGTGTTGTCATATTGCCGGTTATCAACTTCAGGCACCGGTACTAAAGTTTCCTTACTTCCTTCCATGACTGTGAGAGGTCCTGTTGGACGATAGAAGTTATTACTCCCCCCTCCTTCTAGCGCCAATTGTTCCTGCTGGATTCTGCTTTCGTTAACGTCTGAGGGCTGGTAATGGTTTACCGTCCAATTTCTCACCTGCACAGCCAATACAAATTAGCTAGCCCGGGGGTTATCCGGGAATAACCACTCTGATGCTAAAGTCAGTACCTTTGTGAGAAGAAAGTGAAGAAAGTGAAAGAAGAGAGAGAAAGTGTTTTAGAGAGAGAAAAAATCGTCCTTGAAATGAGGATTTGCTTGGGTATTTATAGGAACACAACCAAGCAGGTGCCACCTATACAGATAGGTGGCACATCGACCTTGTAAGTAGTAGGTGCCTACGCGGCACCAAGCAACTCTCCACGTGTTGGAGGGACATGCCACGTTCCGAGAAGCAGCTCTCCACGTGGTAGAGACTAATGCCGATAAGGACATGAATTATTCAATGATTAACGAGGGCTTTAAACTGCACGACACTCTTTTACCGGCATATTATGATTCTACCGGTATATCCCGTACAAGTGTATTTTTACAAATCCTTACATTATTCTTCATCTGGTAATCAACGGGTCGGACATTATCGTCAATCTAAGACTAGCCACCATCAATGACATAAACATCTATTTCATAGGTTAAAAATACACTAATTCTATTGCCACAATTTCTCATGATGTAGTATATATACATCTACTCTATTTAAAACTTGGGTGGGCCTAGTTCATCACATTAATATTATTGTGAACCTGAGTTTCACGCGTACTAACCGATGTTATTTCTAATATAGTGATCTTAACTTTAGCATAGTGAATTTTATTAAAACTTTTATGGACTTGATCACCAATATATAATTGTGAATGAACCGAGGTCTACATGTGTTAATCAGTGTTATGTTGAACATAGTGACCGTAATTTTAATATACTAGTGACCTTTAATATATATATATATATATATATATATATATATATATATATATATATATATATATATATATATATATATATAAAACATACTAGTGACCTTTACTATTTTCTACCAACTAAGGGTTGGAAGGATGTGCACCTTTAACTTTTACAAGATAATATATACAGTGCAATTTAACCGTCATCTTTTACCCTTGGTGTTTGCTTCAATTGTTTTTAAGAGTGACACATAATCTATTTTCCGATCCAAACAACATCGATTGGAGCAAACACTATGGAAAGTAAATCAATACATAATCTATTATCCAATCCAAATAATGTAATTAAATTAATTGATCCATTCCAAAATTATGATAATAAGAGGAGTTGAATCTAACATATTCACAGCCAATTAATATGAGTATATCATTAAAAACAATAACACAAGTATCAGTGTAAACTAAACTATATTTCATATTATACTCGATAATAATAATAAAACTATATAACCTGTATTGTTATAGGCAGGAACACTACTAACTTCATTCCTTTTTTGAAGTTAGACACTTTCTTGTTTTGAAAGTATCAATTGGTTTTGCTTGATTCTAACCTAAAACTTATGTACAAAATATTTTCTCCATTATCTTTAATTTGTACCGATTTAACTTTTACATTTGTCATCATGGCAGAATTACAAATAGTTGCATCATTGATTGTAGATAAGTAAAAATATATATTTGATATTATAAAATTTAATTATGACGATAAATCAAAAAAACTTCAAATAAATATAATGAAGGAAATATAAATAGATAATAAAATAAATTTATTAATTTTATTGAAAAAAAAAACAAGTAGAAATTAAGGAAGGTGATGGCAAACAATTTAATTAGGAGTATTAAAGAATTATCTTCATGACTTGCCGTTCACTATATTAATTAAGTTCATAGATGGAAGTAGTATTATATGCTTATTAGTTTATCAACTAACTTAAGGATTATGATAAAATTATTAAACGACGGGTTCAACAATTGAAACTCTTCCAAAATTGTCAATTATTTATAATAATACAAAGTATAATTAGTTTGTTAATAATATGATGAATTTGTCTTGTTACATTGGATCAATATAAATTTTACTTCATATTTGTTGATTTATTATTTGACATATTAGAGTTGAAGAATGCGCAACAGAAGTAAAAATGTGTTTGAATGAGAAGTATAAATTGAATTGATAATTGGTAAGATAATTAATATAAATGAACACACAATTTTATGTTATGACGAGCACTTTTATTCCATTATTTGAAAATAGGGGAGTATAGGAACGATTGAGAGGGTGAGTATTACAAGAGAACTCTCGCTATATAAGGAACTCACAAAGGAGTATAACACAATAAGAATAGTGGATTCGTAAAGAAGGTAAATAGTACAAGGAGGTGTAGTATGTAGGAAGGCTTGTGTATGGTATGACTTCTTGTGTTGTTCTATATTCAATGATTGAATGCCCATGACATATATTTATAGGTGTAGATGGAGCTTGGAAAAAATGTCCGGAATATTCGAGAAATTTATCATCATTTTTGTATCCATGATATTCTAGAAAATTCACTAACCATATTATTCTATCTTCTTCCAATATAAAAAACTAGAATCATTTTAGGGCTTTGCATGATAATTTAGCTAGTAAAAAAAATCTAGATAAGTGCGGAGCAATATCAATTATGCTAGATGTATCCGGAAGTTCTACAACATGAACCTAATACTTCATCAAAATAATGGGCTTAGAATATTTGGGCCATACCCAACATGATTGTATGAAGTTTACTTAAGAATCTTTCATATCGTGAATTTGAACAATATATCAGCTGTATTCATTTTTTTACCCTTTAATTAATAACTAAATAATAGTAATAGACAAATAGTATTTTATTTTCTTATTATTTATTAAACATAAATTTTAAGAGAATGATCAGCTATGATTGAGAACTAACCATATCAATTAATTGGTAAGCTAATGGTTGAAGACTATGATTAGTTTATATATTAACACGCCCCTTACATGAAAGCCTATTGAGATTGAAATAGTTGAAATATGTTTGGAGCATGGGTCCCCTCATATCTAGCACCACTTAATATTCAATTTTAAAAAATCATTGTGTTACTTATAATCATTGTGTTACTTTCTTCTTCCCCAGATTAATTGACACGTTTAACTTTGTTTTCACTTTATATACTTTGGCTATTGGTGTAGTATGTTTTTAGTAATGTAAAAAAACGTATTTTGTCATAAATTTATTGTAAAATATAAGATTTCAAATAATCAACTTTTAAATATTTTTTTACTAAAATTTTACTATATATGTAATACATGTATTTAAGGTCAAATTAAACTAATATATTGATTATGAGGAAAGAATGTACTCCGTATATGTCAATTATTATGGAACGACAAACAGAGTATTCTATTGCACAAAGAAGTAGTGAATGGGATACCAGTACTGAAATATATGCCCATTGTAACTTTGTAAGCATAATATCGTTGTGACAAGCATTAACGGTCGAAATCAATCAAGTAGCAACTAAATAATTGTTTTATTATTTGCCAGTCTTAATAAAAGTAATCCTTGATCAAATAATACAATCAAGTGGCTAAATTAAATCATTAGTGACTTTTTCTTGGTAAAACCCTATATAAATTATTTAAGTAACATACATGACCTACATCAAACAAAACCATCTTCTGAAGGAAATTACAAAAATAAAAGAATCAGGAAGAAGATGAAGAAAGGAAGAGAAATGGGTATGATGGTAGGAATTGTGTTGTTGATGTCAATGCAATTATATGTGCCTTCATTAGCACAAAAGGAATGCTGGCAGAATATACGAACATGCCTCAATGATGTCGAAACGTGGGACGAGTTCCAGGAGGAGTGTTGTAAAATCGTGTTTGAAGAAATAAACTCGGAGAAAGAGTGTTTCTGCAGTGTTAAGCCGAATCTTGATCGGAATGTTAGTATTGCCGGCGCCGTATCTAAAATTCTCACTGTGTGTGATATTGCTTCTTTCGACACTATTTGCTCTGGTACATATATATATCTTGCGTTTTACATATTTACACTAGCTTATTATTTATAATTATATAGTTTACACTAATCTTGAAATTTCTGCTTTCAAGATTCTGATTCAAGCCCCATTACACCAGACCCTCCGTCAACACCAGGTAATTCATATTCCATTAAATCACGGGCAAATTCTATCTATCGAATAAGTTTGCCTGCAAGATGACTTATACTACGTATACAATAAATAATTTTACCTTCTCTGTCTCAAAATAATTGTTCATTTTTATTTGCACGATTTCTATATTTATATAAATAAACTAATCTTGCAATTTCTGCTTTGAAGATTCCATAACCCCTGCACCTCAGCCTTCGCCACCATTAGGTACGTAATTCATCTTCCACTTCATCATCCATTTAATTAATCACGGGCAAAATTTACCAAATAATTAAGTTTTCCTCATTGCCTGCAAGACGCATGAGTTATATACTACCGGCTTGTTTGGTTGTACGTAGAAATTGCAAATTACTTGGAAATTTGATTTTCTATGAAACTGGACTTCCTAGAAAATTCTAAAATGTGTTTTGTTAAACAAGGTAAGTGGAAATTTCCATGAAAAGTTCCACTTACGGGAATTTCCACTTACCTAGGTCCCCTAAGAAATTTAGTTCCTCCATTTTACTTTACATGAATTTGTCAACCAAACACCATTGATAGAGAATATCCATAAAATATTCTCATCCTAGGTTTAGGATATATTTTGTATAATCTCTAACTTGAGGGGGTATTGAGGATATATTTTGTGGAATATTTTTGGTAGTTATCTTTTATATTGTAACCTAAGTTAAGGTAATTCTAGGGATTAGTATTGTATATATGTTTTTCCAAAAGGTTAGGCCCTAAGTTTATACAATTCTATGTTTTATTTTGTCAACCAAACAACACGAACGTATACTGTATTAAATTGTGTTGCCTCGTTTGTCTCAAAAGTTCTTGTCTATTTTGCACATTTTCAATATACATATCGGTTTCCTAAAGAGAATGCAAATTACATTTATTTAGACATGTACTTATCATTAATTTTTAAATTATATGAGTACTCGTAGTGTATTTTAGTACGTGTAATTAATGCATATATGTAGCTCTTATTACCCTTGAATTTAACCATGTATTAAAGTGACGAAAATTTGTTCTTCCAGAATTCGAAGCCGTATGCTGGCGAGAGATTGACCATTGCATAGATAGGAGTCATAATCGAAGTGAATTAGAGCCAACTTTGAATCCATCGAGCCCTGCGTTTAATTTGACTGAATTTCTATGCTGCCCTTTGATGCAACAAACAGCTAGAATTGATAAAGAATGTTTTTGTACCATCAAACCTTTTCTTGAAGAAAATCCCGACCAAATTACCAATACTACGCTCGTCATGTCCGCATGCAACATTGTTACTTCTATCACTTCTCTTAACAATTTCTGCCAAGGTATATATTATTACGTAGTATAAATAGACATTGTTTATTCAATTCGCCCCCTTATACATGTATATATATAAGTGTACAAGATATACTACCTCCGGTCCAAATTACTCGCAATTTTGAAATATTTTATATCTCACAAATAATACCCCAAAGTTGCGAGTAATTTGGACCGGAGGTAGTATATGATGTTTTTTGTTACATTTTTTTTCTTAACGACTTTATTATAATTTATTTTTAATTTTTTTACTTTTTTTACTTGAATGATTTTATTAGTAGAATGTATAATATGGTTTTTGGTTTTATGGTTGAAGGTTCAAGCAATCCTACAACTAAAGCATTGTCACTTTCCAATGGTATGTTTAATTTTGTGGTTGTTTAATTTTTATTTGTATGCTATATTGATTGACTATATACTTGTTGACTTATTGTAGTATTACTGGTGTACTCTGTACTGTTAAGAGTATTTTGGAATGAAGGAAATAGACTATCATCATTTTGTATTTTACAAAAAATAAAGTTGATGACTTTGAGCTCTAGGACGACTGACACTATTATACTTGCCAAATTTAATAATGACCCTGCATTTATTTTTAGCCCATTACTAATAATTTGAATTGGTTTAAAATAATTATTGAAGGTGAAGCTTCAAGCCCTAATTCCGCTCCTATAATCCGGCCATCTCATGGTAAATTTCTTACTTGAACTAATTAATGTTAGTTGTTTTTATTTGTTTTTGTATCTATTTAATTTGGCAAGATAGTTGAAGTTTTTTATGTTGGAACATTTGCTAGAATAAATATATAAATAAACTTAAATAAAAAAAAAAAGCCGGAAAAATGTCATTATATGTCATTTAGGTCGTAAAAAGGAACTTTCACCTAGCCATTGACTTTTTTTTCCGGGTATTGACTTGACTTTGAAAAATTGCCCATATCTCTAGTGTTTTTTCTCATTTTTCCTCTAATTCCAACTTACTTGGCCTATTTCATTTTGGCCTTTAAGGACCCAATTTTATATTGAAATGAACTCAAAATCTTACTCAAACAATTTTCTGCATTTGAAATTGATGACACACAAATCGATATATTTTTTGGCACGTAAAAGAAGACCCTTTTATTAATTTTTTTGCCAATTTTGACCATATATTGGGTCTTTAAGAACAACCTAATATATAAATAAAATTTATTATATACACCCAAGTGTACGGTGCACTAAAAAGTATTGTTCGTTCATTTCAATGATTATTGCTCATTTTATCATCAAATGAACAACAAATAAAAAACCCTTGGGTGCATCGTGCACCCCGGGTGTATATAACAATCTCTGTAAGATAAAGGACCTATATTGCATTTTTTTTTCTTTGTATGAAAGGTTCATCCTCATAAAGTTAACCACTTAAAAAGTCCTTCCTAACTAATTAAGTAATGCTTATCAATAACACTGGTTTATTTCAAATGAAAGATTCAATGGAGAGCCTCAGCAAAGCAAGTATCGTAATCACAATGAACTCTTCAGGTAATTTCGTGCTCCGTTTATCACTTGATCATCATTTTACAACTAACAAAGAAAAAAGTATCTTTTTAGCCCGCAACAGGTTTTTTTGTTTTTTTTTTTTTCTTTTAACTGATCCATTAAATTAAACTATTTCCTTTTTTATATAATTATTTGTAACAAATAAATTTTATATCACACTTTAAAAATACCCCTTGTTGCAAATAATAAAAATAAAGGTAATTATGTTTACATATGTGGATGTACATACTCATGCATGTGAACAACGTTCTACATAGAGAAAGTATTACTATCATATAATTATCAAAATCTAAGTTTTTATTTTTATTTTTTTCTATATGAATTACATTTTATCTTTTCCTTTAATTAGATGCCTCAGCTCCAACAAAGCCGCCATCTAGTGGTAATTATTCCTCTTCCAATTCATTTTACTAATACAATGGTTTTTTTTAATTTACTTTACTAATATATTTATTTATTATTTTATTTGAAAATCTTATTCATAGATATATACTCTGTGTAACATTATTTAGCATTGTAAACTACTCATTCCAATACAAATGTATGATATACAAGAGTATAATTGTACTTCCAAACTTTCTACTAGTAATATGATATAATATGACTATATTTAATTACCAAAAGTGCAACTAACTAATAGTGCTAGAAGTTTGTCTTTCCACGTGAATTTAACTTTGCAGGTAATACGGAAGCTGAAAAAAGTGCTGCAAATAAGATTTCGATGATTGGGTCACTTTCCGGATTATTTGTTATCTTCACATACGTCTTGTTTCATTAGATAAGGATTCTTATGTCTGAGAGATGCTCAATTGCTCATTATATATGTAAATCTCTTCTTGTATTGCTAGCTGCTAGTTTTCTTTGTAAAACTAATATTACTAGCTATTTGTAACTCTATCTACGTGAATGTTTTAATTAAATTGTTTCCTTTTAATTTCAAACTACATAAAATTGTCTTCAGTAATTGTATAATAAAGTATAATCTTAGTCTTTAGAGGAAAAAGACTAAAATGGTTAATCGATCTGCTAAATATACAACGATAAATTTAGTCATTATATATTGTACGTAGTAATTGTTTTGGATCAGTCTCAATGTAAATAATTATCAAATTAGTAGCAAACTTTCATAGGTTTTTACTAATATACTCTTACAATTTATGATGTATCAATGGTCAAAGTAATTATGTTTACAAATAATATTTGGTGTTTAGAGAGCCGCAAGGGCGGGGGTGAGAATCGATCCCAAGATCTCTTGAAATTGGGAGGGAACTCTAACCACTTGAGCTATCCTTCCCTCTCATGTTTACAAGTAATGTAAAAACTCCACAAGATGCACTCAATAAGAAACAAAATGTTAGGCCTTTATATTGTGTATAGTTAATGGGTCGATCTTATGAGCCCTAATCTCTGGTTAGGTTGTATAAATTTACTTAACAAACTACGAAGAAATTATTTCGTGACACAAAATAAGGTTAAGCATATTTTTATATGAAAAAAATGCTATTAGATGTGTTAAATTGTAACTCGAAATCTAGTAGGGCTGACTTTGAACGCTTATATCTCTCAAACTACAACTGATTTTGAGGTGATTCAAGTTGGAGGTGATAGCTTGGTTCAAGATCTTTCCAACGATAGGTCATATTCCCAATTCCGATAAGAAACGAGAAAGTTATGACCGTTTTACAAAAACCTGACGAAGTTGGAAATTTGCAACGAGGCTGCGAGCTATAGCTCTATGCGAGTGAGCTATAGCTCGGCCCTATGAGGACTTGCGGCAGGCATGAGCTAGCTGCCGATAGCTCGGCAGTTAGGTTATTCTAGGATAATTTATGGAATATTTCCTAAAATTATATTTTTTCTATGACGGCTATTTGAGTATATTTGGGGAACAATCTTAGGGTTTTATTAGGGTTTCCTTGTGTTAGTCAATCAATTAGATCATACCTTTTGAGCCATTAGATTTAGGACTCCTTGTATTATCCTCTTGTTTCTTTCTCCATTATAGTGAAGAAGCTCTCGAATCCCCCACCCGTGGATGTAGGTCTATTTTGACCAAACCACGTAAATCCTTGTGTTTTTTGTCTATCTTCTTTATTGCTTTTCTCGTTCTTAATTTCATTGATTTGTTCCGCATTAATCAAACACGATTACACCCTAATTTCCTAACAAGATGAGAACACATAATTAAAAGTTTGGAATGAATGTTTCAAAAAAAAAAAGTTTGGAATGAAAAGTATTTCCATAAAGAAAAGGTATATAGGAGTGTTATCCATTAATTCCAGCTGTAATAAGACATGTAAATTATAGAAAAAAGTTTTGAATGGATTAATTTTCACATAAAAATGTCAACCACATTAAGGTCATAATCAATCTTGAAAGATTAAGGTGTTAACGCAATTGTATATTAAGTCCACTTTATAAATTATTACAAAAACAACAAAAATGACAAGAATATTCCTCATTAGTACGTAAACAAATTATACGACCTAGTATATAATTGTATATATGACCTAATCATAACTAACGAACATGTTATTATGTCTGATAGATTAAAAGCATATACATGTATAATCATATATATTGATAAAACTGTAGTTATAATCACAATAATAATACGGAGTCTTAATTATCAAGCTAAGAAATATAAAATGATGGGAAATGAGAGAAGAAGCATAGGATCAATAATATTGATGATAACAATAATTATAATGGTTGGAATTAAGGGTTCATCCGCACAAAAAAGCGTAAATGATACATGCTTGGTGACAATGGGAACTTGTTTGCGGGAGTCAAGCAGTTTACTTGAATGTTGTCCAATCATCAAAGACGCCATTTTAGAGGAAAGAGAATGTTTTTGTTTGACAAAACAGATTTTCGGAAGAAATGCTACCCTTGCCAGAACTTGGTCCAATATTCTCATTTTTTGTAGTGTCACTGCTTCGTTCGACTCCTTATGCCCTGGTGAGTTCGCTACCTTTTTTTTTTTTCATTTATTGTCAGACGTATATCTGCTGTCCTGTGCAATTTTTACTCAACCGTTTGTATTTTGATCCAACTAGGTACAACCAAATTCTTTTTTTATTTTTTTCTTTTTAGGATATATTTGTACCTAGCTCTAGGTACAACCAGTTGAATGGTAAAAGAGCTTGCTATAATCTTGTGCCCTTGAACTTTTTTTTTTTCTTCTCATTTTCTTGTTATATATTGATCCATGCATCAATCAAGTGGATTTTTGAGTTTTAATTTGACCTTAATGATCGAGTTTTTTTTTTTTTTTTTTTTACCTTAATGATCGAGTAATTGATTTAATTTTATTCAACATGAAAATTATATGTATAAAGAGATGTTATTATAATTTTAATTGATACAATATGTATAACAGAATAAAATATGAAGTATGCATTACATTTATTAAGATACATGAATTGAATACATTATCTTCATCATAAGCTTGTACTGATTTTACTATTTTTGATGATGAAGATTCGAATTCAAGCTTTGTTTTGCCTCCATCTTCCTCGCCAGATTCGCCACCAAGTAATCTCTTATCTTCCAATCCTAGAATTTGCTATTAGGGTTTTTTTTTTTTTTTTTTTTGGTTTTACATATACGGAGTATATACTTTATATGACATGCATCATATTAATAAATATGATAGAGTATATAAACCGATTCTAAGTTTCAACCATCAATTTAAACTTTTGATTGAGTTGATTCTTTAACAAAGTATTTACTGATGATTATGCAATTTGAAGGTATTAGTCCTACGGAATCTCCCGTTTCTCCACCTACAGGTAACATGACCCCTTTTTTTTTTCGAGTATAAATATAAAAGACATTTTATTGCGTCAATCAATTCAATAATAATTAGTAACAATATATAATCAATCAAGTTCGTTTAATTTCATATTCAATTTATATTTTGTTATTATGTGTAAAATTATACGGTATTATTGTTATTATAATGAAATTTAATGTTGTCAATTTGATACGAAGGCGTTCCAACTCCATCAAGTCCCGTTGAAAATTTATTTCCACCAACGCCAGGTAATCTTTTTTTATCATACAATCAAATTTTATATATAATGGAATTTGCACTAATTAGTTACCATATTTATAAATTAAATATGAAGGTCCACCAATCCCAACTGAATTATTATTTCCCCCAACACCAGAACAACCAGGTAAATATTTTTACACCTCCATTTCTTAATAGTTGTATTTATTTTAACTGTACACGTTAGTCAAAGATTAATTCAACAGGATAATAAAATATTACCTCCGTTTCATATTTTTTGCAACTTAAAGAATATTTTATATCTCACAAATAATACCCTAAATTTGCAAAAAATATGAAACGGAGGTAATATTTTATATGGTTTACTTGATAATATAAAGATCCTTAATGAGTTAATTACATTGTTTATATCTCTTTCAGCTACTGATAATGATACTGGCAATGGAAGCGGTGATGAAAATGACGACAGTAATGCAAAGAAGATCGGATATCCAATGGTCTTAGTTTCTAGTAGTGCACTACTCCTGATTTGGGCGATTCTATTGTCTTGACTCTTTCTTAATATATACTTTGTACTACTTCCATTTTTGAAAGTTCGACTCACTTAATTACTATTGATGTGGGCAAAATAAAATAATTTTGACCTCAATTTAAGATTTATACAATAGAAATAAATTAGTATGTGTTAGGAATTCGGGACCGAAAACAAGCAATAATAAACAACAATGCCAAAGAACAATAAAAATAACACAAGCAATTTATGGATAACTTTGTTACCCTTCTCAAAGACAATCTCACTATTGAATTTGAGCTACAAAACCACAATTACAAACACTTTTAATGAGCTCACAACTTCTCTAGTATTTGCACTCACAAGCTACTAACAACTACTCACTCTCTTATGTTTTCACTCAAACCTTAGAGTAAGTATGTTATTCTCCCACTCCTACTTGTGCTTAGTGATGCTACAACAAGACCCATGTTATAGCTTATATAGCACTCTACCAAGTTTGGCTTATTCTACAAGCCAACTACAAAGTGTACAAAGCACACTATCACAAAAGGAACCAATTAAGTCAACATTTGGCTTACTCTACACACTACCTTGCATGGCTTATTTCACACATTACTAATAGCTTGTCTTATTCTACAAGCTATCCTACTAGTGGTAGTAGTGAGTCTTGAACACAACATGTGAGGTCTTATTAGATTCCCTTTATCATAAATTTTTAAAATATCAACTTTTTATAATTTTCATTTATACATAGCCGAATATATTCATGGTAAAAAATGTTCATTGAAGACCGCACAAATATAAAGTGAGCCAAACTTTAAAAAACGTTGGGAGTATGAAGTACTTCGTATTATATTAATTTGGAACGATTAATTCTCACTCCAATAATGTTCTTTTTAAAAAAATAAAATGTTATAACACAAGTAGCCTAAATTGAGATTTCATCCTAAAACTAATTGACAATCACCTAAAAATCTCCATCTCAAGTGTGAGCCTAGCTATACACTTCCCCCTGAACAAAATCACACCCAGGACTATATATACAGAGTTAACACTAGGTAAGGCGACACTCACAAATGGTCCTTAACGCCAAGAAAAAGAAGCCTACAAACCAGAGCCCAATTAAATCGAGGTTCCATCGTAAAACCAATTAGTAATAGGAGGAGTAGCCTGCTTGGGTTACAAACTGAAAGCCCTTTGCTTTCTTTTTCAATACGGGATAAACACCGCTCATACTTGTACCTAACATAATACGTAGTATTTTAATTTATTGGTCAAAGAGATCTTTATCAGCCTCTTTTTTACTATTTATTTTATTTAGCAATTTTGACTTTATATCAATCATTTGTGTTTTTCCCCTCTAGCAAGGTTCTCTCCTTAGAAGGGTTTTTTGGTTCCCTCTAGAATTTCTCTCTTGGAAGAGTATTCCTAGCCTCCATTGCTAGGTTTTTTTCTATGATGATTTTTCTTCTTCCTTTTCTCTTAATCACTACCATCTCCATCCTTCCCTCTTGGTCTCAGTTATGAATCTTTGTAGGGGATTGTACTGGTGTTTTTAACGGTGGTAAGCCTGAAAAACTTTTTAATTGCTTTCAATTTATAAATAGATCTCATCCTTGAGATGATGATTTTTTTTCACTTGTGTTTATTTTCATTTTCTCTTTGTATGGTGAGATTTGAAAATTTAGGGTTTCATAATCTCCATAACAGTCCAAAGGACCTCATGAGTATTTCAAGTCAAAGGACTACACATCAGTAGATTTCAAACCGATTTAGCTAAAGCTAACTCACATATTGTATTTCTTCGTATCGATGAAGCTAAGTGTTTTATTAGGGTGATTGTTGATCAAATCTATGATATATTTAGTTTTAAGGTGTTATGTTTTTGTGATGAAATTTTTTATTTTTGTAAAAATTATATGTAAGTGCTGTTTGAATATATTTAATTAATGAAATCCCTTTTCTTCTTTTCAAAAAAAAAATATTGATCAAAGATGCATATGATATCTATAATTAAGACTAGAAAACACAACATAAATTATTGGATAAAATAATATTCGATCTAGTTAGAAAAAACCACAATAATTGTTAAAATGATTGGTCTTTTTTTTTTAAAAAAAAAAAATCATTATACACTCAGGTATACCATGCGCATGATATATCTGATTTTTAAAAGCGTATAAAAAAACCAAAAAAATATGATGGCAAATAAATATAAAGTACACATGCAAAAAAGTCAAAATATTTTTCTCACTGATAGAAGGGATTGAGTTGTAATTTATATTCCATTTTATTAATACGAGTATCATTTTTCTAAAGACATAGAATTTCATTTTTTGTATAGAGAAAGAAACATTTTTTAAATTTTTTTTTACATATATAAAAAAAACTAACGTCGAATTTTGAATTTCAAAGTGTTTCAATGTGGAATAATATTACGTTTGGAGTTGATTTTAACGTATGAATGACATTAATAATAGAGAGATGTAATTAACGAAATCGTTATTGAAAGAAAAAGTATTACCCAAGTTATTTCTATATTTTTTGTTTTTAGTGTTATTTTTTGAGGTTTAGGATGATTTTTTTGGGGGGGATTAGGATGAATGTTCTTTCTCATTTCTTCAATACATATTCATCAATTTTAATTGGAAGTATGATACGAAGTATATGCTATTTAAGTTTGATCAATATGTTCTTTAGGTTTGAATAACGTTACTCCATATTATTATTGCAAATTAAGTTTTTTAAGGCACATAAATAAAAGAATATATTTTAAAATATTTGATGGGTTTCAATAACATGAATTATGTTCTATTTAACTTGAATAATATGTTCTCTTGGTATGTATAAATGCATGTAATAGAAGAACAAATTAATCAGAACAATTTATACACGTCGTAGTACCTAACAAACTCTTCTCTAATCTTGGTTTTCAAATTATTTTCATAAAATTGCTCATTTAATGACCTATTCTAATAAACTCTTTAAAAAACGTGCCAAAAAAGTGTATTGCATTTAAATAAAAATCTTTAAAATTAAATAAGTTCCAAGACCTTGTGTGCAACTTGTATACATACATGAGATCAACTATCTATTACATCGTTGAATAACTACGAAGTATAAGCAATACATTACAGAACAAGTTGTAGAGGCAGAAGACGTCTTCGTGGTTGAGGCACACTAACTTAAGTTCATCTATTAATCTAATGCAAGTAGGAACTTAACTAATGCGCTAAGTTAAGTAATGCGCAAAGTTAAGGGTTGCAAAGAGCCATCAGATCTTATTAAAAAAACAAGAAGAGATAAATTTGGATGTTAATTTCGGAAGCAGACTCGTATATATATATTGAGTAAATCTAGAGAAATACGAGTATAGGATCAAGAAAAATGATGAGAAGCGAGAGATGTATAGGATCAATAATTACTATCGTAATTTCGACAATATTATTAGTCGGAATAAGGGGATCATTCGCACAAGAAAGCGTAGACCGATCATGCTTGTTGACAATTAGCGATTGTATGGAAGATTCAAGCAGTATTCTTGATTGTTGTCCAACCATCAAAGACGCCATTGCAGATGAAAGAGAATGCTTTTGTTTGACAAAGGAGATTTTCGGACGCAATGCCTCCCATGCCAGAACTTGGTCTAACATTCTCATTTTTTGTAGCGTTACTGCTTCGTTAGACTCCTTATGCCCTGGTGAGTTCGTCACTTTGACTTTTGCATTATTTATTGAATTTACGTACAATCACAATAATCTTGTGTCTTTGATACATGGATAAGTCAATGTGTGTATTAAGACACATCGTTACATATTCATGTACTGACTTTGGCTATTCTGATTTTGAAGATTCTGATTCAAGCCCTATTGTGCCTACATCTTCCTCGCCAGAGTCACCACCAAGTAATGTCTCAGCTTCCTTTAATATACGACTAACTTTTTTTTTGTTTCAAATATATAGAGCATATATTAATTCTGGTAGTTATTTTTTTTTTATTAGTTTACTAAATTACATAATCAAATACTTTAATTTTATGACATGCATCGATCCAATGGTACTATATCATGTACTCGTACTAATGATCATGCAATTTGAATTTTAAAGGTATTGAGCCTAGCCCTTCAGAATCTGATCCCATTACCCCATCAACAGGTATTTTTTATAGGAACCACACTTATATTCACATGTCTCAATTTGATAGGCACATTTGTCGAGGTCAAACTTTGACAAATGATACATATCTTTCGTACTAATGACAATGCAATCTGAATTGTGAAGGTATTGAGCCTAGCCCTACGGAATCTGATCCCATTACCCCATCAACAGGTATTTTTCATAGGAACCAGAAAGTATATATATAAATAATTATTCGTGGAAATTTATTCAATTAATTAACTTGCACCCCTTTTGTATCATTCACATGTCTTAGTTTGATCGGTACATTGTCAAGGTCAAACTTTGACAAATGATACATATCTTTCGTACTAATGATAATGCAATTTGAATTTTAAAGGTATTGAGCCTAGCCCTACAGAATCTAATCCTGTTTTGCCGCCAACAGGTACTATTTTAATAGGCACCAATATATGTATAAATCATGATTCAATTGGTTAATACTAGCATGAGTACATTGCATGACCATGCTTTTTTTTTTTTGGCTGCGACCATGCTTGTTTATTCGCACTAATTATGTCGTTCAAAAATGGCCTGAATCGATTCTAGGATCACGTTAAATCGGGAGGGAATCTAAGTAGTTCAAGCTAATTAGGGTTTTTTAATTATTTTTTTTAAGTATAAATTTAAAATGAAAATTTACAGTTATTATTTGAACTATAATTTTTTAAATTGGACGGTTGTGATTGTTAGATTTTTTTTTATTGATTTTATATGCTAAAATTAAATAAAAATCTGTTTTAAAAAATCATAAATTAATTAAGAAAATAAAAAATGAATTAATGTTAATTTTTCGGAAATTTATAAAATAATTTTTTTTTTAACTATTTTTTACATTTGAAAATAATTCAAAATCAACAAATTTAGTCTGTCTATTTTTAAACATTACCAATTGGCTCAAGATCACTTCTTAATCAAGTCATTGTGTCATTATGTTTTATTTGTTATTTAACTTGGTAAAAGCAAGAATCCTATGTAATATAGGATGAATTATGTAAATAATTTAATCACAAGTCTTAAATAGTACTATAACCAACTAAAACTACTACTTAACCTAGTTTGACTATGTATATAATGATATGAGTTTTAATGTTGTCAATTTAATGCGAAGGTGACCAAACTCCATCAAGCCCCGCTGAAACTTTATTTCCACCAACGCCAGGTAATCTTTTTTATCGTCCAACCAATTTTTTTCTAATGGAATTTACACTTATTAATGTTTTTAAAATGAAGGTCCTTCAAACCCTTTTGTGTATTATTGGAAAAAAAAAAAAAAAAAGTAAATGAAGGTCCACCGTCAATCGTTAATTCATTTTTCCCTAGCAACACCAGAACAACCATGTTAATAGTTTTACACTTATGTCATTTCTTTATACTCAAACATACTCCGATCCATTTAAATATATTTTTTCTTCTATCATGATCTTCATTGTACTAGTATACTCAAACCCTAATACTCTTTTAATAAATACTTCCCTCTCAAATCTACTATTATTACTTTTTGCCTAAAATTATATGCTGGTCAAAGTTTTACATAGAAAGAGCAGTTTATATAGTTTATATCTCTTGCAGCTACTGATTATGATACGGGCAATGAAAGTGATGAAAAGGATGGTAATGATACTAGCAATGAAAGTGGTGATGGTAATGATACTAGCAATAATGGAAGTGGCGACGAAAGTGATTTTAATGATACTAAGAACACAGGTGGTGGTACCAGCATAAGAGGTGGTGATAAAAATGACAGTAATGCAAACAAGATCAGATATTATCAAATGGTCTTATTTTCTAGTAATGCACTCTTTATTTGGGCGATACTATTGTCTTAAAATTCTGCGGCGACTATAATTTTTTTTCTTCAAAAATACCTTTATCATCTAACCGCATTTTTGGAATCGTTATAAAAATGTTGTATAAATTGGCTTGGCTTTTACTCTTTATTACTCCCTCTATTCCTCAAAGAATGTTATGTTTGCCTTTTTAAGCATTTTCATTTAACGGTTATGCTTCAACTATTTTAATTTTCGATCGATACAAATTAACCCTTGAAAGCTATGCAAAAAAAAATCCTCCTCATTACTTACATTATTATATTCATTGTATTCCCCCAATTTTTTGTAACAAAATGTTCATTTTAAAAATCTCTTTAATTTAATGGATTAACATAAGCAACATGTATACTTTACATTCATTGGCTATTACAATAAAATAAAGTATTTAAATGGGATGGATTAACATAATTAAGCACGCAATCTCTTTTAACGATAGATTCATATTTCATCACAATTATCCAAAACTTCACTTATTACATTTTGCACATACATTTTTTGTAGGTTAACATATAGTTTCTCTCATAGAGTATAGGGATAGACAAAGTATCCTTTCATATAATATTTATCCCACGCATTTACACACACTTTATTAGTAAACTTTCGCAAGCCCACAACCATAATTAGACATGCTTGTTGGATAGGGTAGCCCAATGACAATAGTATCGAAATCAATATCAAAGGGCCCTTAATTGTCATAAACTTTGGGACTTTAATTGGGTAGAGTTTGCATATGACCAAAATATTTGCCTAATTTATTAGATAATGAAAAAAAAAACATTGATATATCTTTGATCATAAATTCATTATACTTAATTAATCATTGCTTATATTCAATTCAATTAATACTTTTTTTTTTGGGAAATTGTTTTGTGTACCCCTGACGTTTTGAAAAATGCACCGTGTACCCTTGAAAACTTTCAAATGTACCATGTACCCTTAAGGTTTGTAAAAAAAAAAAAAATCACCACATACTCTGATCGTCTTACAAATGCACATATCATTGACTTATCAAACTAAAATTATGCCCAAACACAGAATCAATTTTAGTACTTTATATTTATATAGAGTAAAACCGCCTAAAAGCATAAATTACATCAAAATTTGAACTCCATCGATCATTCTAAATCCTAAACTTTAAGGTGTTAGAATTTGACTTATGAATTAAGTTTGCTTGATAATTAAATGCTTTAGCATTATACTAGTATTACACTGTAACACTATAATAGAATTTGATGCTTATAGCCTATATGGGGTCTCAAATTAACAAAATTATCATTTGTTATATGAGTCTAGGGGTATTTGGTGCAAGTTCTTACAAACCTCGGGGATACACACTGCATTTGAAAGTTTTCAGGGGTACACAATACATTTTTTTAAAGCTTAAAGGCACATAGAACAATTTCCCAATTTTTAATTGACATGTTTTGGCTTTGCGAACTATTCACATAACCTACTTTTACTTCGTTTTTTTAGTGTTAAAAAAAAAATCATACATGGTCTTGTTAGATTCGTCTCAATGTCGTCTAATTTCCAATCAAACTTTTATAAATTTTTGCTAATAAGTAATCAAATAAGTTTACATCTATCTAAATGTATGCATTGACAAATGTGGTTAAAGAAATATATTAATATAAAACAGAGGAAATAGTTTAGTGGCCCACCCATTATGAACCCCTCACAACCTAAATGTTAGCCCGACATGTTATTACATATACTCCCTCCGTTACATATTACTCACAACACAGGGGTATTATTTGTGAGACATAAAATATTCCTTTGTTGCCAGTAATTAGTAATATGTAACGGAGGGAGTATAAAAGTGCAATCTTCGGTGATTCGATTAAGAATGGACCCTAACCCAGTCTGCCTAATAGCCAGTTTTGGCCAAATTATATCATACGTGATACGTACCAACTACCAAGTATCATAATTTTAATTCCACCTACGGCTACTATTCTCTTATTCTCAATGTACTGTACTTTCGTTTATAAAAAAAGTCAAACTCAAAATTTTCTGAGGTCAACTGCCATGCAACTTGCGCACGTTCACGTGTTTAGCGCCATGCATGTCATTCTAGAAGTTGACATTGACCAACTGCAAATTAAGAACTTAAAATAAGGCTAAAGTTTTCATAATACTATCAGCGCTCACATGAACAATGAATGAGAAGAAATTTACAAAATGTAGCTAATTAAGGAAAAACTTACTCCGTATCATAATCCATTAATATCCGAATATATAAAACAAAAAAATAATAAAATAAAAAGGTACTTGATAGAATTACTACTTAGATTTTGACCCTTTGATTTTGTTTTACTTGGAGAAGTATACAGTACAGAACCATTTGGTGCATGCACATTGCACATGACTATATTCTAACAACAAGAATTAATTAAATTAAAGCTAACAAGTAGGAGTATAAAACAGAAGTCAAATATTACGTTCAACCATTATGCATTGCTACGTACGCTATAGTATGTCTGGCAAAACTTCTAGAAGTTGCCTAATTAAAAACACTTGGTTCCTCTTTCAAAAAGAAAGAAAAAAAAAAGGGGATTTTTCTGTGTGGGCGTGGTTAGGATTAATCGAGTTACTCGATCCCTCAATCAATAACTTTTACATTATTAAAAGAATATCAATTATTAATATTCTTTTAGCTCTTTTATTAATATTTTACTTGTAGAAGGTGGCTATAAATATAGCATACTCTTCAATAATAATATCTTATGATCATATTTACAAACACATTAAGTATTGCATAATATCATCATAAGCTAGAACTTTATAAAAAAGGGTAGTGACTAGTGAGAGTATACAATTACAAGTTAATTAAGCATGAAAATGAAGGTGGTGTTGTTGGCAGTAATGTTGACAACAATATCAATTAGACCTTCACTAGCACAAGACGATGAAGTCGAAAACGCGGGGTGTTGGCTCAAAATATCGAGCTGCCTTGGTGATAATGATGTAGCATTGTGTTGTCCAATTATACAGCAAGAAATAGACGATGAAAGAGACTGCTTTTGTTTGATGAAAGAAACTGCGCTACAAAATGCAACTATTGATGCTTCCTTCTCTACTATTCTTACTTTTTGTGATATTTCTGGTTCTTTTCAGACCTTATGCCCTGACGGTAAGTGCAATCTCGATATAATGGAACGTACATTATTGTCAAATAAAAACTCGAATTAAACCATACCTTTGATCTGAAAGTAAATGAACATTAGAATTGAAGCTTGATAAGGAATTCAAATTACTACCTCCGTTTATTATTTATTTATTATTTATTTTTTTTACTCATATATCTTATAAATAATACTTTTTGTTATACTTAATAAGAAACGAATATATTCTCTTCGTTCCTAGAGAATCGACACATTTAACTTTTTTTTTTCACTACTAACGTAATAGCTTTGACCATCATATTATAGTTGTGTTTTAAAAAAAACATAATGAAATACGGAGTATTTTGTTAGATAGGTATTAATTTAAAGTTTTATATAACATCTTAAATAAGGTGTACTGTATTAAGAATTGACACGTTTGACTTTTTCAATATATATATATATATATATATATATATATATATATATATGTATATATAATCATAATTACATTGGCATGTTGCATGATGTTAATTATTTAGGAATGGAAGGAGTAGTAGTTTGGCTAGTTTAGGTACTCTATTTCATTTTAGATTAAATGTAACAATTCTCATTACGTGCTTGTTAATGCATTATTATTTCTATTATTATATTTTTGTATTACTAATATGTAAAAATTATAAAATATGCATGATATTATTTAATTAAAGTATAAATCAAGATGAATCTAACAAGATTTCACATGTATTATTAATATACTTTATTACTAATATGTGAAATTTATAAATTTGATATTATTTACTTAAAGTATAAAACAAAACGAATTTAACAAGATCACACATCACTATATTTTTTAAAATTATAAATTATCAAAGCTAGTCAAAATTTTGCATGGCTACTGAAAAGCTGATATATATAGCATCTCTATTTTGAAGGTCCTCCTACGAGTTCTACCCCTACTACCGAAGTAACAATTCCAGCATCAGATGAGTCACTACCAACAGGTAACTTCATCGTGTGATGCAAATCAGTATGCATATATATATATATATATATATATATATATATATATATATATATATATATATATATATATATATATATATATATAATCCTTTTTTTTTTTAAATATATTTGGCAACACTTTTCTAAAAAATATTAGAATACTTGTAACACACTATAATTGAAAAAAAAAATATATTAAAAGTTGATTAATACCCTTATTTATTACTCATGGTCTACTATTAAAAATATATTAAATCATGTAAGGCCCTGTTTTTTTAAATACCGAAAAAAAGTATGCGTTGTAACTTACAAGTGTAAAAGAGTAATTATTTCTTATTTCTTGTACATTCACAAGTCAAATATATACTGGTCTATGGACTAGGGTTTTACATACACCTTGTCAGTTGTAAGTCTTTTAATTAAATATTTTTTTCTAGAAGAACACGCAAATTAATTTTACCAGTACTCATATCAGTATAATCACCATATAATTAAAACTAATAGAGGGAGGGGAAGAAAGAGCTAGAAGGCAAAATAATCATCGACTGTGTAATCCCACATGATTATATATATATTTTTTTATGATCATTGGCAGTAATTAATTATAATTATGTTTTCATGTACAACAAACAGATGTTGGCGAATGTTGGCATAGAATATCAGATTGTACAGATTCAAAGTCTGATTCTTTAGATTGTTGTCCGATCGTTAAACAAGCAATAGCAGATGAAAGGGAGTGCTTCTGTAGTAATTCCGATGCCGACATCTTCTTTCAGTATCTGGCGCTTTGTGAAATTCGCGACTCTTTCGACACAATCTGCCCTAGTAGTGCTAGCCATGGGACAACAGCCAAGATACCAAAGAGCGCAAAGCCCCTAAACATAAAAGGAAGTACCAACAATAATGTTGCACTTTCTGTTGGTTTACTTCCCACTTCACTCTTAATTATTTTGGCCTTAAGTTCCTTGGTTTTAAAATGACTATGACATCCTCATTTTAAGAATTTTGATTTGTGCAAGCATTTGTTCAATAATATATAAACACTTCCATATATAATTACAGTGATGATTTATTTATTTCTATCTATACTACTCTCATTTTTATATTGATGGTTGAAACTCGGGATCAGTTTATATACTCTATTACGCCCGGTACATGAGAGCCACCCTTTGGGCATCAAGTGGCATTGGCCTCTCATACCTAACGAGAAATATTCCACTTGAAAGTGTTGAAAAATAGACCTATCAAGAATCACCACATGCAAGTGTCCTTGCACATTGGTTGAAGAAGAGAGAGTTAATTACCTTATAAGGCTAAGGGGCTACTCCTTCTATCACCATATGGTTTTGGGATAGAATATCCTTTGGATTCGTGAAGTGGACTTTTTCTCTTGGTGACGGATGCGGCCCAGACCAATATTTAACAAAAAGTAGGAGAAGAATGAAATTTAAATCGGTGACCTTTATGTCACGCGTACTGACTCTTAATACCATGTTAAAGGACAAACTCAATTAAAAGTTTATGTTGATGCTTGAAGTTCAAAATCGATTAATATATACTCATAACCGACCAACATCTAAAAATTCTCTAAGACACTCTAGCTGGCTATAACTAGAAAATAACAATTAATTCAACTAATTATTATGGCCAGCCATATTGAATTTGTATAATTGTATTTAGGGCTGAGCAAAACTACCCGAATAATCGAAAACCCAAAAATCCGTTCCGTTACCGTTTCGAAAATTAGGGTACCTGATCCAATAACCATAACGGTTCGGGTATCCGTTCCGATAATTTGTTATCGGGTATGGTTTTTGGGTATCATTTTAAAATTAACGGGTACCCGTTCCGTTCCGATAAGCAATTATTTTGTTTTTTTTCCTACTTAAATCTATCTTTTCAATATTTAAACTCTTACATTACTTCATAATCACTATAAATATCAATAATTAGTAATGTTATTAATAATTTGGTCAAGATCATGTGGTATTGTTACTAATTATTGTTAAAAAATATCATAATAACTAATTTTTTAAGTTTAATTATCACTATTGGATACTTTATTGGGTACCCGATAACCGTTCCGAAAATACGGGTACCCGAAGTCCGGGTACCCAAACTTATCGGTTCGGGTTATGGATATCACTTTTAGTGATATTGGTTATCGGGTACCCGAACCGTTAGTACTAACGGTACGGGTACCCGTCCCATGCTCACTCCTAATTGTATTATTATACTTATATATATATACACTTACTTCTTTGCACTTTGATTTTTGTGACATTATTTAGATACTTGCTCCATTTCTTTATATTGTGATTTGTGAACTTGTAATAATATGTTACTAATTTCCCCAATTAGTGTGGTTCATTCATATTATATTTAAATATTTTAAAATTGTTTTATACAAAATGGTTCCTTCATAAAATATTTCATTAATTTATATACGATATAACCTCATTTCACTTCTAGCATTGAGCCTTTTCTCTTTCTTAACTCCTATCTTTTTTCACATAAAAATTCTATGGTGGTCTTCTGTAAAATGACTATCATTATAATAATATTTTATTGACTTTTTTTTTTTTTTTTTTGTGTCAAAACTAAAAATAAATGTTTTTATATATATATTTTTTCAAAATTTATTTTTAAGTTTTATATTTTATAATTAAAACAGTAAATGAATTCTAAAAATTAGGTAAATGAGTTATAATTTTTGACGTAAAAAATAAATTAAATTAAAATCAGCCCATAAAAAATTTAGTATGTAATGGTAGTCATCTTAAAACTAACTACTGTTGAATCATCTTTTTTCACAAGGTGGTTTGTTGCTTGAAAGAAAAAATACTCCGTATGTATATATCGCATAAGGCCTTTGCTATTGTCAAAAAAAAAAAAAAAAAAAAAAATAAATAAATATTGCATAAGGAAAAATAAAAAAAAAAACTTGTAGAATTTCCATAATCTTATTGTTTAAAGGTAAACTCACAAAATTGTCATATTTTTTGACATGAAGATAACAGTGACAATGGTAGTAGTGGAAGAAGATCTAGGCATTGTGTCTTACCGGGCCTTCACGGGCCGTGCCTCACCATGCTAGGAGGTGGCTCGTGCCGGCCTAGGTACATGATGGCAGGTTATACCGTGCCGGGCCACCAAATGGCACACTCCAGTCCAAATCATGGCACCGCCATGTGTCTACATTGTCGGGTCTTTCCGCGCCACAAGCCAGCCCATTATTTTTATTATTAATTAAAAAAATTATTATTAATTAATTAATTTTAAATTTTAATTATTTATAATTCTTTATTCTTTATATTCTTTATAGTTTTTAAAAATTATTTTTATATTATGGGTCGTGTTGGCAGGCCTAAGCTCGTGGCGAGTTCATGTCAAATTTTTATTTTTATGTTCACGGCACGACCCACGGTTTACCCCTTGTTCCTCGTGCCGTGCTATGCCGCTAGCGGGCGTGTGTTGTGTTGGGCCGCTTGGTGTGCTCGTGCCACCGCCCACGGGTCAGCCCGGCCCATGACCAGCTCTAAGTGGAAGCTACAATACTCATATTAACAAAATTTTTGTAGTATGAATATCATATCATAACTAATAAAGTGTATTACTAGCTCTATTAAAAACACTATGTACTTTTTTTTAATTAATTGTCTTGATGTTATTGTGCACACCTGAATTGAATTTTACTGTAAGGTTTTCCTTAAATAACAAATAGAGTTTGTTTGGAGAAAAATAAATTCATCGAACACTATTGTCGATAATTATAGGGTTTTTTTTCAATGCCTATAAAATTGATTTAATTTGATGTAAAATATTTTCATAGAAAATAATTTTTTTTTCTTATTTTTATTTGTTTGGTTTGTGAAGGGATGAAAAATAAATTTTTAATGGTGGAAAATTACATCCTAAACAATAGACCTCATTTTTACTTCCCTCCTTACCTCATCCATTCTCACTCCTATTTCATTTTTCTTTTACTTTTTTTTGTATGCAATCAAACTAAGAAAAATTCATTTACAATTGTTTTTTTCTTTAAAAATAGGTTATTTAAAAAACTAATTTAATTTTTCATTGAAAAGGTTTTTACTAATATCCAATGAAAACTAAGTCAACCCCCATGCTAGTTGCGCACGTTCATGCACACATTCTAGAAGTACTTGTATTAATGCCCTCAAATTCCGAAGTCGTACCTTACTGGCTGATGACTTATTTAAGAGGCCCTAAAACTTCAAAGTTGACATTGACTAATTGCAAATTTGGAACTGTATGTCAATTTTTTTTTAAATCATAAAGTCTAATCCTATTGTGTTTTAATCTGTGTTATGCTTGATTTTTTTTTTTAAATGTTACACTTGACTAACACATAATTTTAGTAATTAACTTAAATAAAATAAGAGGTAAATGGAAAAGTTGAAATATTAAAAAATTGTAAAAGAAAAAGAGAGTAAGGTTAATAATTTATTGAAAAGTAATGAATATGAGAGGAAATAAAATTCGGCGTATATATATATATATATATATATATATAAAGGTAGTAGTGGATTTGAGTAAAGAACATGAGAACAGAACGATGTAATATTAAAATGTATTTTTTTTTTTTTTTTATCAAAATATATATATAACACTTATTAAAACATGGTCGCATTAATAGTGTTACTCTTATTAAAACATAGAGAGAATATTATTATTTCAAAATTAGTGGTCATTGCTCTTCAATATAATAGTGTTTTGCTCCGTACTCCTATGTATTCTGTATTGACCGTATAGATATAACATTTTTTAACATTGTATAGTAAGAAAAATATGATGTAAGGAATATACTTAGAATTAGAAAATTGAATCATACATAAATATATATTTCATTAATAATTAGTGAACAACAATTAACTTGTATCCAATATTATAATTACTTCGTATTATAGAACAAAAATTTCGATAAAGAAAGTATCTTATGTATCGAACTACAAAAAATAATCATTATACGCTTGTGTGTAAAATTAGACTTCACATTCTCCCTGACATACTACAAATTTAATTATAATACATAACATGTGTATCATACATTTTTACCCCCCCCCCCCTTCAGATCCTTGTTTTCTATGGCTTTTGTATGATCTTTGACGTATTAGTGAAATTATGCAAAGTTGATCCTTTAATTGACACTATAATGTACCTAACAAGATCTCATCCATCAATTAGTTAACTTACTTGGCTTGATCCAATATTTCAATCCACCGTTAATTTGTACAAATTGGGCGGCATGTACTTAGTATAATTTAACGATTATAAAATTTATATAAAAGTGAATTTTTTTTTCAATCTTTTTTAAAGAAATAACCCAACTTGATTTTATTTAATTTTGTCAAAGAAAAATTACGTACAAAACAATTTCTTGCATGCACATGGGCACATGGCTGTTCCATAAACAACTAAACAAGAAGTCAATAATTAGTTATACGTTTAAGCTTACAAGTAGGAGTATAAAAACAGAAGTCAAATGTTACGTTCAACGATTATGCATTACTACAAAGTACATACGCTATTTATAGTATTATGAAATGCATGTCTGGCAACTTCTAGAAGTTGCTTATTATTTCTAGAAAGCAATAATACTGCACTGGTGATGTAAATGATATGTCATATGACTCATATCTCATGTAGAAGGATGAACATGATGATAAAGTTTATGTGTTTTCAATCATTCAGTGTACCACAAACACCTTAAACACTCACTTTTTACTCCGCCCAAATAAGGAAAAACAAAAAATTACTCTTTATATACTCGGATGTATAATAAAATTTGTTTCATGGGGTCATAGTGCGTGCTACATTATACTTTGTGTTAGTGTGTTACATTACATATCTCGTAATAATAGTACCTTAAAAATGCATATAATTAACGATTGTGGATTTGTGGTGATAAGAATGTAATGTAATACAAAGTATAATGTACTATATACCTCTAAATACTTTTTAATAATAAGTCACAGGCGAGGTAGCGTCCATTTGTGAGATACTGAAATACTTAATTATTGTATCAACCTTTACATTATTTACAAAAATATTGGCAATTATTATTTTTTAAGTTCTTTATACATAATTAATCTACTCCTATGAAATTGGCTATAAATATAACATATGCTTCAATATCATCAAATACTTATATTTACATACTCACATTATATACACTTCATAAAGCTAGAGCTTTAAGAAAAAAGAGAGAGTAATTAAGAGATCGAATAAGCATGAAAATGATGAAGATGGTATTGTTTGCAATAATAATGTTGACAACAATATCAATTAGACCTTCACTAGCACAAGACGATGAAGTCGAAAACGCGGGGTGTTGGCTCAAAATATCGAGCTGCCTTGGTGATAATGATGTAGCATTGTGTTGTCCAATTATACAGCAAGAAATAGACGATGAAAGAGACTGCTTTTGTTTGATGAAAGAAACTGCGCTACAAAATGCAACTATTGATGCTTCCTTCTCTACCATCTTTACTTTTTGTGACATTTCTGGTTCTTTTCAGACCTTATGTCCTGATGGTATGTACAACCTCGCTCGATCTCCTTATTCCATCTCATAGCTAATGCATTATTTACTTGCGAGATAAGAAATAATAACTGATTTTGCTATTTTTGTTTATTATGAAGATTCTGATTCAAGCTCGGCTCCACTGGTGTCACCAGACTCTTCATCATCAAGTATTTACATCTCTATCTACAATTTTATATACTACCTTATTTTCATATTATTCGCAATGATTTGACATAAAGTAGAGATCGAGGAAAAATGTCTATCGTTGTAAATAATATGAAACGGAGGTAGTACTTCATTTTATTAGACAATAGTCCAAATCTGATACAAAAATATGGAAATTCAATGTTAAATTAAATCCGATATGAAATTTAGTAAATGTGATTTAAATCCAATTGTCATTCCTTAATACATGTGTGTTGGTCGTGTCATTCCTTAATACATCCATGATGATCATGTTACATTATTATACTTGTAAGTTGTAATTAAGTTTTGTCATATAATCAAATTATATACTTACTCCGATCCACTAATAAATTAAGTTTACTATTTTGAATTGATTTTGAAGGCGGCTCTATACCAACCTCAGCTCCAGTAGAAGATCCCTCACCACCAAGTACGTGTAATTTATTCATATGTGAATTAATTACTTATTTTCATATGAACATTTTGTTATTAATAAGATGAGTTTATTAGTTGTACAATGTTGGTCTAGTACTCCGTACAATGATTTATAAATACCTATATATATACGACATACGTATTATTTAAGTGGCCGCATGTACTAATATACATAGCATTTCTAAATTTTGAAGGTCCTACTTCTACAACTTCTACCCCTGCTACCGACGTATCAACTCCCTCGCCAGATGAGTCACTACCAGCTGGTAATTTCTTCGTTTAACTTGATGTATCAATAATTAAAACATTTGTTCTTTCAAAAAGTATGAATTTTACTCATTATCCTACTTGTATATTCATAATAATGACTAGTGTATACATAGATTAGGGTTTTTAATTATCCCTTGGCTAGGAGAACGAATCAAACTTTGTATCATACCATATAGCTAATGTGTTACGAAATAATTATCTTTATTATTACTCGCATCACCATATAGAATTAATTAAGCTCTCGGACCTCAAAGTCCAAAGTTAAGACTAGTGATGCTTGTATACATTTTCACTTAACCATTGGATCATATCATAATTTATTTATGCGTGGTAACCAAGCAAAGTTTGGTCTAGTGATAAGGTTAAAAAATAAAAAAAAAATAAAATAAAAACATGCACGTAAGGTATATTTTGATTTATTTTTCATGTACAACAAATACACAGGTGTTGGCGAATGTTGGTCAAAGATATTAACTTGTACTGATTCAAAGTCTGAGAGTGAAATATCAGAGTGTTGTCCCATTGTTGAACAAGCAGTAACAGATGAAAGTGAGTGTTTCTGTGCTGGTGCCAAGATCGCTGTTCTTGATGATCCTTCAAATGCCGACACTTTTGATCAATATTTGACGCTTTGTAAAATCAGTGAATCTCTCGATACATTATGCCCTAGTTCAAATAGCAGCACCACAGGAAGTCGGATTCCAAAGAAGACGAAGAACAGCCTAAACATAAGTGGAAGTAACAACAATAATATTGCACATATAGTTGGATTACTTCCTAGTTCACTCTTGATTATTTTCGCAATAACTTTTTTGATTTAAAATAACTATGATATCTTGATTTGAATCATTGTATTTTCAAGAGTTATGATTTGTTTTCGATCACTTGTTTTTAATAAATACTACATCCACATGATATTGTGAAAGATTTTGTGCTTAATTGTGAAGGCTTGAGTTTGAGGTGGGTTATTATAAAATAGAGATCACAAATTTCAAACTTTAATTTGAGCATTTAATTTTTAAATGGACATCTCAAAATTTACTATAGTATTCTTATTAATATCTTATAATGTAGCTAGTTAAATTAAAGACTACTTTTTATTTTCATTGTTATTAGTCCAATATGTACATTTATCTTCATTTGTTTGAATTGTAAAAATATTATATACCCATACGACGGTTATTGATCTGATCTACGTGAAACTCATGAGGATATGAGTTGGTTCCGTCCATTTATTTTGATGGAAAATATTTTCCATGAAAATGATGTCTGAAAAAGATATGCGACCAAGTTAATATGGCAGCCAAAAAAGAAAATGGGACGAAAAGCCTAGTCACGGAGTATATATATAACCATATCCTAATATTCCAACTTCATACATGATGAGCTGTGAATATGGTATAATTAGTTGTTAAACATAATCTATTGTTAAATTATCTTAATATATATCATTAAATTTATCAATTAATTACTCCTTAATTAGTACTACATGAAAATTTCTCAAATTACAGTTAATAACGTAGTTCATGTGATGTATTTAGTTAGTGGCCAACATGTTACAGCTATACTACAGATTAAATTACACCTTGGCTTAAAATTGCCAGGTCCATTGATATCTTAAAAAATCTGCTACATTCTAAGATTCATCCTATATATACAACCAATCCAAAATTCTTCAACAAATCAAACATATTTTCAATAAATTATTTTTTCTAGTAAAATCAAATTCATATATTAGTACACTAATAAGAAGGAAGGTTTTTATTTCCATCCTAGTAGAGATCATATAAAATGGCATATGAGAAGGTGATGATGATCATGGTAGTATTCGCGGTAATGTTGGTGTCTACACACGCTCAAGATCCAAGCACGTCATGCATTCAAGCATTGATGCCTTGCGCGCAGTTCATCAATGCCACTACCAATCCACCACCAATGTGTTGCGGCCCTCTTACGGAGGCGTTCAAAACACAGGTGCCATGCCTTTGTAATATTTTCGAGAACCCTGAACTTGCCACCACTTATCATGTCAATATGACCCAGGCCATGGAGCTCCCCACCAAATGTGGCATTAAAAATGTTGATACCAGTCTTTGTAAAAAAGGTAATATTCTTATTGTTTTATATATATGGCTATTAAAATTATAATGCAACTAGTTACAAGTCCTTAAGAGTTTGAGTGATTAAATAATTTTACATAAGTATTCAATTTGTTGTACCCTTTGTGTTCCTTTGATCTTATAATGTGGTTTTTAAAGGTCATAAAAAAGGAATATAAAAAACAATTTTGAAATATTGATCAAATTTGTTGGAAATATAATGTACAATCATGAAAATTTGCTAATGTACAATTAAGCGAATCTAATAATATCTTGTATGCCTTTTTTATTCTCTCGTAATTCTCAAACATTCTATTCCTTTCATAACTTTGTACAAAAGTTAAATTTATTTACAACTTATTTGATATTTATAGTAAAAGGAGCAGCACCAACTAAATCTCCAGTAGCTGGTGGTGAAACTACAACTTCATCTGAATCATCTCCAAGTCCCGCAGGTAATTACTACAATTTTAAGATTTCTTTTAGCAATTCAATTCAAAATCAGGATTCAAAACTAATATAGACGTACTTTTCACCTCGTGTTAGTTGCCACATATGTAACTCTGTATTAATCCATATTATCGAAGTAAATTGAAATAATTAACTAATACGTTATTGAAATTCATCGTAATTAATCTTGCAGGAAAGAGTGCTGCAAACATCGTTAAACGAGCGGGACCAATTTCTAGCTTGATGTTGGTATTGGCGGGATTAATGTTCTATTAGGAACGTCTACACTCCCAACTGGGATACACATATATAATTCTTGATTCATGCCATTCTTATTAGTGTAACTACTCGTAAATAATTAATATCCGTGTTCATACATAGTATGGAGAACGGATTATAATGATTTTTTTTTTTTTTTTTTTTTGAGATTGTATTATTGGATTGATGATTTCGATCTCTTCAATTGGTAACATTGAGGTTGTAATGGATAATTGGTGGTTACATGCAATTCTTTTTCGAATTTCACAAATAAGCTCTACATTGTTCGAAATTTATATTACTAACACATTGCTATAATAAACCTCACAAGTCATAATTTTGCATATCATCGATAATAGTTAAGATATTAACCTTTTGTACGTACTAATACTTATATAATTGGATTATAATTATTAAAATTGACCTCATATATATGCTTTTTTTATGCTCAGAATAAGGGGGGAAAAAGTTCATTTTTTTTCGAATAACTAAATGGATTTTTTTGTGAAAAACTACCTTTTATATACAACTTTTTGTGAAAAACTACCTTTTAAAAAAAATGTTGTAAATGACTACCTCTTTTTTAAAAAATGTTGTAAATAACTACCACTTGTCGGAATCTTGCCGTTGACTTACTTTTCCGGCGTTGACTAGACCACTTGGCGGCTTTTTCCCGTTTTCGACCACCCCCACCCCTCCTCCTCCTCCCTTTTCCAGTTTCGACCACCCCCACCCCCTTGCCGTCAACTCCCCCTCCCTTTGTCCAGTTTCAGACTGCCCCTACCCATACCCCTGCCGGAAAATTGCGCTTGTTGCCCCTCCGCCTTCCTTCCCGATTTTCGACCATCCCCACCCCCTACAAGCCCTCTTTTTCCCTAGCCATCCTTACCCCTTCTTGCAAACCTCCTTTAATTTAGTCCTCCCTACCCCTTCTTCCCCGTAACCACCATTAAAACTAACCTTCAATGTCTTTGAAACCTGAAATTCAAAAAAAAAAAAAACCCCAAATCCAGAAATTGAAAAGGGTAAGGTTTTCGAGGGGGCCGAAGGAGGGTGGGCGGGATTTTGAGGGTGAGATATGGTGGGTGAGATGAAATTTGGCTAGAAATTGATAACTTGTTTGAGGGGTTTCGAAGTATTTGGGGCCGGAAATCAGAAAATTGATAATTTGTTTGAGGGGTGGCCGGAAATGGCTGTCGAAAACGGAAGTGGGGGTGGTCCGATTGTGAGGGCTGCAAGAAGGGGTAAGGGATGGCTAAAAGGATGGGTGCAGGGGTGGCGGTGGTCGGAAATTGGAAAAGGGAGGCGGAGGGGGTGGGTGGTGGTCGAAATTTAGTAAAGGGAGGCGGAGGGGGTGGGGATGGTCTAGTCAACGTCGGAATTAAAAGTCAACGGCAAGATTCCGGCAAGTGGTAGTTATTTACAACATATTTTTAAAAAGTGGTAGTCATTTACAACATTTTTTTTAAAAGTTAGTTTTTCACAAAAAGTTGTATATAAAAGGTAGTTTTTCACAAAAAATCCTAACTAAATATACTCCGTAACGTAATACATTTAATTACTATTTTAAAGCTACGAAATGTGGCAATGTGATGAAGACTTGGAACTCAAGTTAACCTACCTTGACCATTAAACTATCACTTTAATTTTCTCCAAGTTAAAAGATATCAAAGCATTAATATTATCACCAAAATAGTACAACCAATTTTCAAATTAACAATATTTACTCTCATTTCTATCTCCTTACCAGTCATAACATCGATCATGCCATTCCTCATCATAACTTATACAGCATATTTGTTGTCCAAAGTCTTAGATCTATGAGCTATGACATTATTGAGTTGAATATACGGGTTTGTTCTCATACGTTTATTTTCAATTCAGTTCAGTTCAGTTCAACTCAGTTCATTTCAACTCAGTTCAGCTCCTAATTTCCTTCTCTTATAAAATATTCAGTTCAGTTCAACTCAGTTTAGTTCAGTTCAGTTTGGTTGAGTTCAATCTATGAGAACAGGTCCTACGTAGCTAGCTTTAATTTTTCGCCGAATGGAGCTCCAGTAGAGATATAACAATAAAAACCAACTACAATTCTTTCAAATCTCACAAAAAAAAAAAACCAACAACAACTGCAACTTGTACAGTTGTATACAAAGTATGTATAAATTAAGGTCGTCATATTTTAAAAGCAATCGAATTAGTAATAGTATATATTAGCACATATACATTGTACTTCGTAATAGTCAAGGGAATATCCTAGCAAACTTATTAGCTACTAGTCTACTACTCGTATATTGAAAATAACAACAATGTAGTATTATTTTTTACTGCCACCATATGAAGGTGATGATGAGTACATGCGTGATAACAGAAATATTCAAGGATACTTCGTTCATATATACAGGCAATACAGCCTCCCTAGATTGGCTCTTGCCATTAATTTTTCTATATTTCTCGAAGACATTATTTGCGTAGACTTGGTATGTTGGTAAGCCATAAGATCAGACTAGCTATTACATTAATATATAAGGAGAATAATTTTATTTAGTTAGACCGCCTACTCGCCTAGACATATATATGAACATGAACCGGCCTACTTCTTAACAGGCTGACATCGAGCTTACATTCGATCTACCAGTAAAGTATTTCATTTTTCAAACAAGTTGAAGATATTTATACAAAGTTTATATAATATATAATCCCTCGGTATCTATATATGCATTAGTTTGACTTTGCACTCTTTGACTTGATTTTATTCTTTGTAATATTTTATACATGACAAAAGTTATTAGTAAGTTTGCTAAATTAGTCACGGTAATGCATGTATATTTATATGTCCACAATATCAAATTTTTATTAATTTTGCTAAATGACAATTGAAGATATTAATATTGGTAAGAGTTGTGCATTGACATCATGGCAGGTGAACAAGTCATATTTATGCAGTATTCATTCAGAGGAGGGGGTATATATTAGTTAACTCAAGAAGTAGTACTAGTAATCTACGTAGTAATTGATTATGTTTCACATCATACATCCATACAACCTGTTGTACCTTATTAGATACGGCAATCAATGTTAGTTGCAGGCTTAAGTTCTCATATCACAAGATATATAATTAAGCACATGGCGAGGAAAAGAAATTATTTTGGTTAAGAGAATTTTATTGAGACAACAGATCCTAACTACCATCTTTGGTAATAATATTTAATACTTGTATAGTTGTATAAGAGTTAAAATTATTCCCATCCTAGCCTTTACAAAATAAAATAGAGAATAATGGGAAACTATATTTATAATTATGTTGAATGGAATTCATCCGTTCAACAATTCAACCAAAAACAACTTGCTATTAAAAGTACATACTTAATTGCTATAACATACTTCGTAATTTCGTATTACAAATTTACAATACTAATGGAGAAGGTCAACTAGCTAAGACCTTAACTCTTAAGGGAGATTCTTTTTAAAAATAATAAACACTTACATGTTGCATTTTAATTATTTGAAAGAAAAATGAATAAAAAAAAAACACAAACAAGGTCAATCATATATTTTCCAAAATACATTAAGCTCAAATGTATACCTAAGGAAATTCCATTCACCAATTATCATCATGCACTACAAATCAACTAAATACTCCGCAATAAAAAATGACTTTTTATATTTAATAAGCTACTTACATACAAACATACCCAAATAATAAGTCTATAAATAGAAATCAGAATTTGAGTATAAAATTTAACAAATTAAACACGTAAACTAAACGAAGTACTTTAGAAAACAAAATGAGCAAAGTGTTGTGCTTGGCTGCTTTGATGGTGGTGCTAGTGGTACCAACACCGCTAGCGGCACGAGCACAAGATGAAGTTGACGTACCAGATTGTGTTATGGAGCTCGATCCTTGTGGCCCGTTCGTTAACTCGACAACCGCCGTGCCACCCGCCGCATGTTGCCAACCCCTAGAGATGGTGACTAAAAATGATCTCCCTTGTCTTTGTACAATCTTTAGCAGCATTGAGATAATCCAGGCTTTGAGCCTTAATGTTACCGAGGCACTTACTCTACCACAACGTTGTGGCATCCAATTTGATATACTTGCTCAATGTGAAGGTAACTTATTCGCTCCTAATTAATCTATTAGTACATACGTATGTACAATATATTCAATCGTTGAAATAATAATGTGACAATTAAAGTGATTGTTATTGAATTGAAAGTGGAAATAATGTGACAATTAATTTGACGTGGTATTGTTTTTCAAACAACAGCGCTAGCTTTGGCTCCATCAATGTCTCCAGCTGTGGCTCCAGCTTCAGGTTTGTAATTTTTTCGTCTTTTTACATAAGTATTGTGATTTTCATCTCGTCTTTATATAACTTAATTATTAAAAGCTAGATCTATGATACTAGTAAGATATAATTGTACTACTTGTTTAGTTTGATCAATCTTACGTATCCTTGTAGTTTAATTAGATGTTTAAGGTGTGCGCGATTTAAATCATTTAATTTGGAGGTTGTATTTTATATATTATACTTGTACATATAATACAAAGTTAATTGAAATAGGTTTTAACTAAGAAAAATATATAAATATATGTGTAATCAGTTACATTCAAACAAGATATGCATTAATCTTACCTCTAAATTCGTTTTCTAAAACTTTTGTTGATAAGATCATGAGGGACTTATTTATTACTCATGATTTTACATGAAATTAATTGGCATTAAAACTTTTGTAGGTATGGACTAAGGAAAGTCAGCTGGGCAACAACATTTCTTGGACTGGATCAGATGTTTGGGCTTTTTCTTGCTTTGCGTTGAATGTTCTATTGAGGGCCTGGGTCCTTTTAATCTTTCTTCCATTTTTTTTTCTCTTTTTAGAAAAAATTTCTTTTCTGTATTGAAGTATTGCTTATTTCTGCTCATCCAATAATAAAAGGGAAAATTTTTACTACGGAGTAACACAAAATCTCTCCATTTTGCTCTTTGTAATCTAAGTAATTTATTAATTTTAAACGCTCTTGTGTTGTGAATTTGTGGATTAGATTAAAAATCCTTTCTTTGTTTTTTTAATGACAAAAAAAAAGAACTTTCTAAAATAAAGTTCTAATTAACTCAGTTCAATCACATAAATCATAATACAAGCAATATACCAAGAAGCAATTACATTGAACCATTAGATGACCAGATAACATATCATTAAATAGTACATACGGTTTGTCAAAAAAAAAACAAAAAATAGCACATACAAATGTATTGTCTATTTTTAATTGAAGTCATGCAAATCCACATGTCAAGTAGATCCACTACTATTAAAGTGTGTGAAGGAAAAATCAAAATTGGTATAGAGTCATTCTTAGGTTGAACTTCAATACATTAATTGAGTTCATACCTAGCCAATATTTCATCTGATCTCCAACTAACTTGGGTCATGTATTGTTGTCATTCTTTTATGCACAACCCATTGTCATGTTAGGTTAGTCCATACATATTTCAAAAATGACCTCCATGAGTTGTGGGCTTATGCCAAATTTTGAAATTTACTCATGTAGTGTTTGAAAAGCAATACATTCTCCCTAAATAATACTCCACATATATTTGTTAGTTTGTCCTAGTTGTTTACTAAAACTACTAATTTCAAGATACATCATGTGTATGTAATCTACTCACTGTGACTTGTTGAGGGACAAATGAATTATACAGATTAAATTTCACATCCTGTTACAAGCCATAATAATTTGCACCATGTGCTAACTCAAATTGGTCCTACTGTCCATGTCTACATTAGATAGATACAAAATGTGTCGCTAAATCAAATCACTTGCATTACTTACATAGTATATATGTTGATATATATAACCATAACTTTATAATATAAGCTCTATCAAGATTCAAGATTTGTACTATAGTTATAATATTTTAACAATAACAAGTATACTTAGGGTAAAGTGCTAAACTCTACTCACTTCCATATTTCATGATAACAAGAGATAAAAACATTGTTAATTCAACTTATGCGATCTACTCATTAAAATATTTTGAGATAGACTTGAGTCAATAATAAAATGTGATTAATTTTAACTACAAAAAGAAAGTAATTTACTGCATTTACGTGATTTACTCATTAAATAATAGATTTAGGCTTGGTTCTTTAGAGCTATTCTGCTCTACTTTGCTGAAATTTATTCTGCTCTGCCCTGTCATGTCCTACACAATACGAATTACGTATTGATAAACACGCATTTTGAGATAGACTCGGTCAAAACCTAATAAGATAAGTTCCAATAAACAAAATGACTAAAAACCTAGCCTAAACTAAAGTTAAACAGTTAAACCCCCGTGACTCCTTGAGATAAAATCATTCCAATTAAAAACCAAAAAGAAAGAATTGTTCACTACAATCCTTTAGAAAATGGGGAAATTGTCGATGTTGGTGGTTTTACTGGCGGCGCTAGTAGCGTCTACGGCGGCGCAAGGGTCGGACGGAATACCCTCGTGCGCAACAAAGCTAGCACCGTGTTTCTCCTACTTGAACGCCACCAAAACACCCGATACAAGCTGTTGTACTCCACTCAAAGAAGCCGTCACAAAAGAAAGAAAATGTCTTTGCGATATTTATAATAATCCTGCTTTAATTCAAGCTTTTCATATTAATGTTACTCAAGCTCTTAATCTCATCACTCTTTGTCATATTAATACTGTCAAAGATCCCAGCACCTTTTGCAAAGGTTGGTTATATTTTCATTTATTTTATTGTTTTTGTTCTTTTTGTTTTAGATTTTTATTTTGGGTTTTGTCATTTGTAATTTTACTTGATTTTGGTTTAAAAAGTTTTGATTTTGCTTGGGTTTCTATATAATTTAAGTAGTATTAGAGTGAAATTACTGTTTAATTTGCAATCGAATTATTCAATTAGTATCAAAATTGTTCTTGTAGATTTCGATGTTTTGGATTGAGAGTGTTATTGGGTTTTGATTTTGGATTTTGGTATGCAATTGATGATTCAAGTAGTATTAGTGGGAATATACTGTTGATTTCATGATTTGCAATCCTATAGTCTAATTACTCGAATTATTGGATTTGTATTATTGATTAATTTATTTTGAATACTTTTGAATGTTTGATTAATTATTTATTAAAATTTTAACCCTTTTGTTCAGATTTAGCCCAAGCCCCATCTCCATCTTCTTCACCTGCTGCTGGATCAACCCCAACTCCTCCAGGTAAAAACGCTTCATTTTTGGAATGGCCTTTTGAAAATTGTTTTTTTTTAGTTTCTATTTTTAGTTTATTACATTGTGTGTGTGACAAAAGACAATAATACTAGTTACAAAACTGAGTGCTTTTTGGATTGATACATTGTGTCTGTGACAAACTGGAAAGAAAAATAAATGGGTATGGTGAATTTTTGGTGGTTGTGAAGTGGGTGGAGTGGAGTCACTATCATGAATTCATTTGATCAAGTGGTTTGTTTTGATATCTTGTTTTGGTTAAAGTTTTGATTGAGGCATCGACATAAAGTTTAGCTGAATTGTTGTGTATAATTTTGGTTCGTAGCCAGTTGTTGCCCGAATTTGTCAAACTTGGGACATTTGGCCTCTAGAGACCAACCCGACTTGAGGTTGTAGTACTTTGTTTACAAGGGACTAATTGCACACTTCAAAATAAGTGCTTCCATTCCACTTGAAGACCTTTTCTAGCACCTTTGCTTTAGGTAAAGGAACCTTAGCTTCTACTTACGTTAAGCATTTAACATGCGTGTTTGAAAATTGTTGAGCTACTTCGTAAGCAGAATTATACTAGATTGCTGTCTGTCTATCCTAAGTACCTTTTACGATGCCTGAATCATTGGTGTCATGAATGAAGAAAGAATAAGGATTGGTGTTTACTTAGACTGTCAGTAGTCAGGACTTCGCTATCAATTTTCCTATATTTGATTGGTTTGTAGCCTTATTTGATTGAAAGTGGAGGGGGATTAAAGGTGATACTACTCCCTAAGATGAATTTCATTATAGTTAGCCAGTTGCGATTAGCAAGATGGCTTACTAGCCCAGCCCTTTCTCCCACCACTATCACCTTTTGTCACCAATATGCACATTGCCCTCTTTCTCCCCCTGTTTACTCTCTCTGTTGCATGGAATTCTTTTTTCTCCTCGAATGCGTTTGACAAGAATGAACAATGATAATAGTTTGAGAAATATTATATTTTCATGAACAAGTTGACCGGGTCCAACCTAGTCAAGACCAAGGGAAGGGCAAAACCCCCTTCCCCAAGACTAACAAAAACTAGCGGAAACACCTGGTAATAACCACTAATATCAAAAGCACTATACCTATATCTGAAATTGTTTGCATTGGTCATTAGCTCGAGTAGTCCATCTGAACACAAATAAAGTTAGCGGTCTGCATTCAGTCCAAGCGGTCTGCATTCAGTCAAAGCCATTGCTTGATCTGCTGTATTAACTGAGCGATTGAAAGAGCAGATGTGGAATTGATTTAGGCCTTTCAGGGCCATTCCCACATATAGGTTAGAGTTGAACATGTAAAATGCTCTTAGATGGTTCCAAACAGGCAACCCCCCAACACACACACACACACACTTTTCCCTCCGAAAGGGAACAATATTATGAACTAGAAGGGGTGATTTATTTTCCATGTGGTCATGTGGCAAGATTATGTTGATGGATTTTGATGTTAATTTTATTTGGTAGCGTGACCAACCTCTACATATATGCTTTGTAGTAAGTTTGGTACTGGTAGTTAGGAAAGCCTTTATACATTAATTTGCATGAAACCCGTGTAATTTGGATGTACTAAACTGAGCTAATCATCTGATCAATATTTGCAGGGGGCTCGTCTACAAGCAGTCCTCCTGGCAATGCTGCCCCTAAGATCACAGGAGCTGGTTCGGTTGGAATAGTTTCTATCTTACTTATGTTTGGAGCATATACAATGTTTTAGTATGTGCTTCTGCTCTTTTGATATCTTTAATTAACTTGTGTAATCTAGAAATTATTCCATGGTGATCATAATCATCATATCATTATTGTGGAAGACATCAATTCTGATGAGGCCATTCAGTGTTTGAACATTTTCCTGAGTATCTAATTAATTTTTAAGTGCTTTGTTCCATCACAATTTGATGTTAGACCTGGGTATTGTCTAATTCCGTCCCGGCTCTTATAGAAGTGTACTTATATACCTCTAAAGCTCTACCTTATATAGAGTTGTGTTAGCACTTTTGGTTCTTAATCAGTACAAGACTAATTATAAATTTATAATCATCTAAATAAAATCACACCAATCCAAGCAATAACATCAACCACTCTAGCTAATTAGAAGGCTGAAATTGGATTGTTTATTCTCCTTGATCAACAAATAGTAGAATGCTTACGTTAAGATATTGAGCAAGGTGACGCCATATGTTGAAACTTTTCAACAGAATGTTTTTATGCTACGAAGTCAAGCCCATTTAACACTCTTACAACTTTTCAGGTGAATACTTTTTACAATAGAATATATTAAAACAAAGGGTCTGATCATATTTACTGAACTGAACTCATTGGAGCTGAACTGAACTGAACTAAGCTGAAATGAATATTTTATGAGAGAGGGAAATTAAGAGCTGAACTGAACTGATTGGAGCTGAACTGAATTGAACTGAAAATAAGTAAATATGAACAGGCCCAAAGTCATCAGCTATAATCATTAGCTAAGGGTTCGTTTGGTACTGCTGTGATTTTCTGTTTTTTTTTTTGTTTTTTTGTTGTATAAAAGTATATAATATATAATAAAAAATTATTTAAACTTTATTAAAATCATAATAATTTTGAAAACTGACAACAAAAATGTAGAAACACATTTTTCTTATTTCCTGTTTTTGGTTTTTAGTTTTCAAAAAAATCAGAAAACTAAAAATAAAAAATAATGCCAAACAAGCCCTATGCTTTTTGGTTAACTTAATCCGTTAACATGATATCGAAGTCAACGTGACATAAGAGACACAGATTGAATTTGATTCACCCCTCCTTTAAAGTACTCCCTACTAGAAGTAGGAATGTAATTTGGGGACGGAGTAGAATATTAAGACGAGTATAGTCAGCATTTCATTACCAATTTTCAATGAATATACACTCATTCACACTAGTCATCTTGATAGGCCCCACTTTCACCTGCCCCCTCAACTCCAAACCCATAAAATCACAGTCCAACATTCAAAACAATCCCAAGAAAACTCCCCAATAAACAAGAACAAGAAAATATCTTTCTTACTCTCTAAAGTTTAAACATGAGCAAAATCTTTGCTGTATTATTGGCGGTCGCGCTAGTGGCGCAGCTAGCGGCGGCGCAAAGCTCCGGCGAAACACCTTCATGCGCATCAAAGCTAACGGCGTGCGTTAACTACTTAAACTCCACCACTACGCCGTCGCCGAGCTGTTGCAACCCACTTAAAGAAGCGGTTACCAATGAAAAGCAATGCTTATGCAATATATACAATAATCCTGCTTTAACTAAAGCTTTTGGTATTAATATTACTCAAGCTATGAATCTTCCTAAGCTTTGTCATATTGATACTGGCAAATCTCCTAATATTTGCACAGGTTTTTCTTTTTTCTTAATCATCATTATTTTGATTTATTTGGGTTGTTTTATTTGTTTTATGAGCTTAATTATTTGGGAATTTTTAAAAAAATTACATGTTTTTTCTTTAGGATTGAATGATTGACTTTTTGTTGTTTGATCAATTGTGTTCTTTATGATCTTATCAATTACTCTATATTCTATAGAAAATTATTGATGATTGAATCTTCTTGATTATTGTGAAATGAAAAGTCAAACTAAGACAAAAAATAAAATAAAAAAATTCGGCTAAAATGGAATACAATTTTGTGTTCACATGCATTTTGATGATTCAACTTCAACTAGGTGGAAAGAAAAAAGTTAAGAATTTGCATATAGAAAGTTCAACAAGTATATTGCTAGTCTTAATGTGAAATAAATCACAATTTGTACATTGTAGTAGACTATTAGATGGTAATACTAATAATACAAGTGTATAATCCCGCGAACAACAATGAAAATGTTATTATAGGCTCCTATATGTATATCAATCTCCTTATTTTAAAAAGACATTTACTTTGGTGTAATTGTTCTAATACTTTTTTTAATGTATAATTATTCCCCCCTTGGTCAGGTTTAGCAAATTCCCCACCATCTTCAACTCCTTCAGGTAACATACTTTTCGACTTTGTCATTTGGTTTAAAGCCTTTAAATTTGAATAATTAATTTACTTTTATAGGCATTTCAATAATGTTGTTTGTTGCGCTGTACTTGAAAATAACGTGTTGTCCGTACTTTGCTTGAATGCCATGTCCATTTTTTTTATTATGCCCTACTTTGGACACAGATTAAATGTAGATGGTGGTGGTTGATTAAATGGTTGTTGTAAATATGAGGGGTGGAGGGTAATTGGGTAACTAATGTGATGCAACTTAATTCTTTGAATACCTTTAGCATTTGTTTCTTGTAAAGAATTGTCAGCACAACATATACTAGTTACTGGTACCATAGACATATGTTACTCGGACTCATAAAAATGTCGGACCTAGATATGGTGTCTTGCTTGCTATTTTGAACCATTATTATCATTGCTTGGAACTTATAACTAGTACTAGTATAAGCACAGGTTCATAGAGTATGAACATGCTATGAAGTATATTTTTATTTTTATTTTTATGGTGATCAAATTTGCATTCTTAGAACGTAGAAAATTGTTCTTTCACATAGAGGTCAAAGAAAATAAGTTTAAGTATCAAATCATTATCAAAACCCAGTCCAATTTACTCCTAACAATCTATCATACTAGCTTGCAATTGTTGAGGTTTGTAGTGAATAGTTCCTTTATATGAATCCACCTAAGTACTTAGAAATTCCTTGGCTATTTCCATTTGTTATGCTGAAAACATGCCATGCATTTTGCAAGTATTGTTGAAGTTTGGTGAGTTGTTTCTTAGGAGTATTGGACAAAGAAATTTTGTTTGTTCTATTACCTTTATGATGCCAATTGATGTGTCATCGAACGAGGATATTGTTATCGAATGCATTAGTGTTAGGTTTGAATTATTTTGGGGCATTCCAAGTTCCAAGTCTTGGCAAACTATCTTGACTAGAAGTAAACGTCTATCGGTCTCTGTTTTTCGATGTTTCTCCTAGGAAAATAGCCAGCTGTGATAGTCATGTACCGTATACCTACCTAGACTATTATTCATTTACTGGCACTTCCAACTTTGTATCTCTTGATGACTCACTCTTTGCGAATCCACCCGCCAGCGGCCAGCCCCTCTGTAATAGACTAACTTTGAGGGGTAGTATAGGTATTCTAGTTTTATTAGTTTATTAGGGTTGATAGTCCTTAGTATAAATAGGGAGGTAAGGGAAGTAAATAGATAGGCAGATATTTGGTGAGAACCTTTTGGAGAGTTATGGCCTAAAGCCATTAATGGAGAGTTGTGAGCTAAACTCACTATCGAAGATTGATAGCCTTAAGCTATTAAATTATCGTTTGTAACCATTCCACCATTATCAATCAATTTAAAGCTTTCATCTTTATTAAATTTGTTTGTTAAAATCAGAAATTCGTGCTGTTATATTGATTTCTAATGGGTGACCGAACTCAGTTCTTTACACCCTCCTCGTCTAGCAGCTAACCCCTCTATCTATTACTTAATGTCCATTAATTTGACACTAGCACCTTAGTTCATGCTCTTTTACTTGTATCTTTTCATGATTACATCTTTCTGAATCTAGCATTTTGAAGCGAACTTACTTTAAAACAATTGATCACTTTGTATGTTAGAAAAAGGAAAACCATTCTTGGGTCCAACGAAGCAGTAAGTTATCATATAGGCAATGCTTGGCTTCTCTTCCCTCCATCAAGAAAAAGGGGAACGGCAGAAAGGGTCAGGAACTAAAGTATACTCCTCCCATCTTAACGTCAACCTGTAAGGTCCGTAAGATAAAACTTTGCCGCGTGAGGGCCAATATTATTCCGCCTTTTGCTATGAGATTAGCTGGTGGATTTCCAAAAAATATATCGACTGAGAAAAAGGAAAGGAAATTTGATGCTTTACTCTTCCCTCCAACTTTTAAAAAGTGCAGTACGCTAGCACATTTGAAAAGGTGTTACAGCACTAATGCCACTAAATCTACTATCAATAGAATGAAAACTCCCCAAGTTTTTCATGGAGTCCTGCTATGCAATGTGAAATTTTGATGGGAGTTAGAGACGTTTGTATTTCATACTTGATATTATATTATGTCGGTCTGATCAACTTCTGCTCATATGCTTATTACTGAAATTGAGTATACTGCTTGCTTAATTGTACTATTTGGAAATCATGTTTGTTTTATTGTAGCTTTGTATTCATCCAAAGGATGATTTTGGCTGGATATGTTCCTATTTCTTACTTCCTAATTGACTAAAAAAAGCTCCCTCAAAAAAAAAAAAAAAAAAAAAAAAAAAATTGACTAAAAAAACAAGTTATGTCATCGGAAAATTGTTTCTGTAATTTGAATGAACTGACATAATTTGTATCTTTGTTTGAATAATCTTTGCAGGAAGCAGTCCTTCTGGCAATGCTGCTGGCAGGATTACAGGAGCTGGATTAGGTGCCATCTTACTCATGTTTGGAGCATTCTTCATGTTCTATTAGATTGTATTGCATGTATTTTCAATTTTCACGTATATTTTCGTTACCAGTTCAGTTTGCTCCACATTAAATCAAAAGTTGATGATCATTGTTTGCCTCGGGTGTTTATGTACGGAGTATTTATTTATCTCCTGTTATACTAGTATTATGGTATATCTTTATTTTTAGACGACAGTGTATCTCAATTTTATAATTTGTTAGTAGTGTAAATCGATTAATAAAAATAAGGTAAAAATTACCTTATATTTATGTTTTGATTAATTTCTACGGAGTACTCCTTTACTATAGAAAATAACTCATAAGTAGTCTTTGAAAAGACCAGAAAGGAATTTAGGAATTTCATTCATTAGTTTCCTAAACCCACAACCAAAACATAACTAAGTTCATGAACTAGAGAAACTCCTAGTTCAAATTGAAAGATATACAGGATGGATAAAATGGGAGGGTACAACTCCTTGACAGCAAACTAATTATCTAATCTCGGTCTTTCACAGCATAACCCAGTACAGTACCGCCATCGGCCTGTGTAAACCAACCATTACAACTTCAAAAGCAAGTCACTAAACAAGCTAAGGAAGCAGAAAGAGGAAAAACATACCATTACCTAAAGTTACTAGGAGTACTAGCACCAATAGTACTTAAAATGGTTGTAATAAGCCAAAACCCAGAATAAGAAATCAATCATGGCAGGCATGTAGCAATGTTGCTCCTAAAGTAGCATTACCTAGTCATCGATCTATCCAACGCAAATGCCACTTAAGTATTCTTGTAATTGATCATTGATGACTACTTAAGGTTAATAGTGTTTTCAATTGGCATTTACAAGTGTTTTTATATTGTATACTAAGCTTTAGATTACTTCTATGATCAATTTAAATAAATGAAAATGTTTGTAAACTAATCTATATGCTTAAGACAAACAATTGCTAGCCAGTGAAAAGGAACGTTAAATCATGGTAAATTAATTAGAAAAACAATCTTATACTCCGTATATGAATTGAATATTGAATCTTCAGTACATTAATTAAGATTGAGTAAAAGAGGGCATGAATCAAGCTAGCACATAATTGGCTTGACATGGTATGACCGTATTGAGTTTATTATAAGTCTGGCACAACACGAGAGACACGAATTGAGCCACAAGTTATACATGGCACTACTTGCAAATAAGAGCCTCCTATCATAGCACAATATATGAGTCTACCCAGCATAGACTCTATTTCTAAAAGATCGACACAACATGACTTTTTCCTAACGTGTTTCAAGATAAATACTACTCAACTCGTTAAAGATGATATGGTGATACCCACAAGTCGACTTACAGAGTTACAAACCTACACGAACCATCTCATTCACAAATGCATGATACAGATACATGTGGAGTGTATGCACCACTGCACCCCTATTTTATGCACAAAAGCCCAAAATAAAGACTAGAGAGCAATCTTAAAATTTTAGGTTTGCCTTTTGGAGCATTAACAAACGACACCTTGCAAAAATAGGTCATATAACCGTAATTTCCGATTCCAATAATTTCGACGGTGAAATGTATTAATACACTTCGGGCCTGAACTGAACTGAACTGATTGGAGCTGAACTGAACTGAACTGATTGGAGCTGAACTGAAATGAACTAAGCTGAAATGAATATTTTATGAGAGAGGAAAATTAAGAGCTGAACTGATTGGAGCTGAACTGAACTGATTGAAGCTGAACTGAAGTGAACTGATTGGAGCTGAACTGAACTGAACTGAACTGAATTGAAAATAACTAAATATGAACAGACCCTTCATACCCCTAATAAAAGAAAATTATCCATTTAGCAAAAGAAGCTACTAGAAACAATCTAGGGGTTTCAATCAAATCAAAAGTTTCAATTCATTTCATTATTTCCCTTAAACCCTAAATATTTATTAATCATCTTCAACCTTTCTACTCATTTTACTGCGAAACCCAAATTTTTGTTTGATAAATTAATTTCTGCAGATCTTAATCTTATAGCTCGAAGAAGATAACAATGGATGATTCAAAAGTTCAGCAATTGAAGCAATTCGTTGATCTCTGCAAATCCAATCCTTCCATTCTCTACGATCCTTCTCTCTCTTTCTTCCGTGATTACATCGAAGGGTATGAATTTCCGCCATTGCCAAAACCTTAGTTTAATCTCGTCGTTTCTCTATCCTCTTGATTTTTCTCATTGTTTTTGCATTTGTTGGTTTCAGTCTTGGTGCTAAGCTTCCTACTTCTTCCGACAAATCGGTAATTTGTTTCTAGGGTTTTTTTTTTTTTTAATTTTTTATTTCGATTAATTTTTTACAAAAAATGCTTGTTAATTTGAGCTTTTTGTGTGTGTATGTTGTAAATGTTGTTTGAATTTGTGGATTCAGAAATACACTGTTGATGATGAGAGTGACGAGGATGTAGCGGATGCTAAGCCGCATGTTGAAGAAGTAGAGGAAGAAGAGGAAGAGGAGGAGATTGTTGAATCTGATGTTGAGTTAGAAGGCGAAATCGTTGAGCCTGATAATGATGCTCCTCAGAAGGTCTTTTTATTTTATCTATTTTTTTGATGCATTTGATTTGGTTATTATCGGAAATGTGAGAATTTTCATGTGTTGAACTATTTGAAATGAAGTACTTGTATGATATTTGCTGCTAAAATGCTTGAAAAATCGTTGTTATTCGGTTAGGTTTGGTGAATGAACTTTGTTATTGGAATATTGATGAATAATTAGATGGTAAGAAATTAAGGTTCTATATCATTACCCTGAATGCCTCTGCCCAAGCTTCGGCCTTTGACGTTGTAAGTGTAGGGTAAGTAGCCTTATGTGAACAATTGTGAAGGGTGTTGTGCTGTCTTTATGAGTGAGGATTTTGGATGGTGGTTTGAACTGTATTGTTTGAGTTTGAGTAACAAAATGCTCTCCTATAGTTGCAAATATATTGACTCTTTTGTGTATTGGAATTTTTTGTAGATGGGTGATTCTTCGGTTGAAGTCACAGATGAAAACCGTGAGGCGGCTCAAGAAGAAAAAATGAAGGCAATGGAAGCAATTTCGGAAGGTAATTACATCATTTATGTTGTAAAGTTTTTTGGGTGTTTTCTCAGCTTTCCCTTGTCTTATTCATGTGTGCCTTTTGGGATATTAGGCAAACCAGAGGAAGCAATTGAGCATTTGACATCAGCTATATTACTCAATCCGTCGGCTATTATGTATGCTACCAGAGGTAAAACTTCATGCTCTGTTCAGGTTATACTTTGTATTTTGATATCATTGTTTTTATTGACTGTTGTTCTAGTGTTTTACTGATTTGTCATCTGCTGCTCCACAGCTAGTGTGTATGTAAAGATGAAAAAGCCAAATGCTGCTATACGTGATGCCGATGCTGCTTTGGAGGTAACATTACACTTGAATATTTTTTTAACTGAAACTGATTGGATAATGGTTTATGAAAACTCCTCTTGGATAGCTGATTGACTGCTATAGTGCTATATATGTTGCATTTATGTACTGAAATTTTGAAATTTGTTTATTTATAGTTGTCATAGGGTTTGAATCTTGTTGGCAGTTGCCACTGTAATAATGGTCACTATACCACTTTTGTGGGCAAATTTGTATGGTCTGCCACTGCCTTGGACTTATATTGCGGTTGTGCTAAGTTCAAAAACCCTATACATTGCACGGTGCAGTGATACAACCAAGATTTAATACCCTTGTATTATTTGAAGAGTAAATGCCTGCCCACTGTAGATATGATATGATATGTTGAAATCGATAGTCTCCTGCCCTAACCTATGCATAACCTATTCATGTTCAGTTTGCTCAATTTTTATCCATGAATGGATTTCATAGTGCAGCTTGCAGAAATCTTTTAACTCATATTCCTTTTGCCAGATAAATCCTGATTCTGCTAAAGGGCACAAAGCTCGTGGCATGGCAAGAGCAATGCTTGGTCAGTGGGCAGAGGCTGCTAAGGATTTGCATGTGGCCTCAACAATCGACTATGATGAAGAAATAAGTGCGGTGCTGAAAAAGGTGCTACCAATATTGATTTTTTTATTCTGCATATTTGTTTATATCTGTTTATTATCTGTTATTATTGGTTTGACACCCCAGCGTTACTCAATCTTACATTGATGAAGTATGTTGAGGGGGGTTTCTTTCCTTGTAAGCAGTAACAGTTGAGTAGGTTAACAGTAACAGTGTTATTTTCTATCTACATACTCTACTGGTTGGATGCATTTGAATGAGATGATAGTGCAAGCTATAGAGATATAGTACTTTGTTAACTCGTTTGGCAGTAGTGTAGTTAGCTGGTTTAACTAGCAGTTAGCAGTTATTTAGCTGTTTTGCACACTAGGATATAGCAATCACCTAATGGACAAGCATTTTCTATATAGGGACCAAAATGCTGATGCAAAATGATTTTGTAAAATACTAACGTTTGGAGTTTTAAACCGCTCTTTTACAACCGTTATTGTTATTGTGACCATAATTAATATTTGATTTCCTGTAGCAATACCTGGCGTTAGGAAAGGGTGAGGCCGCCTTTATGTAAATTGCTATTTTGGTGGTGGTTGGGGGTGGAGCCAATAGGATGCTGGATTAGTTGATTCAAGAATTTGGGTCAAAGCTCTGTTTTCAAGGACTTACGACGTAAAATTGTATTTTTTTAATGTGAGAAGAATACTAGGAAGTAACAACTTTTTTTTTTGGTCTTCCTGTTGTTTTTATTTGTTTGGGATGGGAGTTAGGGTTCTACTTGGTATTCCTATATATGTTTACACCTCTCAAATCGACCTATCAGGTTGAGCCCAATGCACACAGGATTGAAGAGCATAGGAGGAAATATGATAGGCTGCGCAAGGAAAGAGAGGAAAGAAGGGCTCAACGAGAAAGACAGCGCAGGAAGGCTGAAGCACAGGTTTCTGTTTTTTTTTTTTCCTCCTTTTGATCCGAAATTGTGTTATTGTGTTGACTATGCAACTGAAATGGTGATGTTCCTTTTTAGGCTGCCTATGAGAAAGCCAAGGAGGAGGAAAAGTCATCTTCAAGTAGATCTGGCGGTATGCCTGGGGGATTCCCTGGCGGTATGCCTGGAGGGTTCCCTGGTGGTATGCCTGGAGGGTTCCCTGGTGGCATGCCTGGTGGGTTCCCAGGAGGCATGCCTG